GAGGATACGAGCCCATTGTCAGTTGCTCATCACCAAGAATGTTGGCGGCGACGTCGAGGCCCCGAGTGCCAAGTCGGGCAAGGACAGTCACTGCAGCGGCAAGATCATGATCCGTCAGACCCCCGCGACTGTCGAGGATGTTATCGAGACGAGGATAGCCGTTGTTGGCAATGGTACGTCTCCCTCGTCCTTCTGATCTGTTCCCTCCTTCGTGCTTCCGCTCTCATTTTGCCTTTAGCCCTTTTGCGTCGCCCTGCTCTATTTGTCCTCATCCACTGTGTATGACTGACCGATATATCACAGTCGACGCAGGCAAAAGCTCCCTCTTGGGTGTATTAGTGAAAGGCGACCTCGACGATGGCAGAGGAAGAGCACGAGTCAATCTCTTCAGACACAAGCACGAGATCGAGACGGGAAGAACCAGCTCTGTGGGCATGGAGATATTAGGGTTCGATACCGTCGGAGAGGTCGTCACCTCTGACACCCCTGGGCGCAAGCTGTCCTGGGAGGAGATTGGGAAGCGGAGCGCAAAAGTCATCACCTTCACCGATTTGGCTGGTCATGAGAAGTATCTGCGCACCACCGTCTTTGGCCTGCTCTCGAGCAGCCCTAATTACTGCTTGCTCATGGTAGCGGCCAACAACGGGCTGATCGGTATGAGCAAAGAACACTTGGGCATCGCCCTCGCTCTCAACGTGCCGGTCATGGTCGTCATCACCAAGATTGACATTTGCCCGCCTCAGATTCTGGAGCAGACCATCAGCCAGATCACCAAGATCCTCAAGTCTCCTGGGGCCCGCAAGATTCCCATCTTCATCAAGGACCGCGAGGAGTGCATAAACACCGCCACCCAGTTCATCAGTCAGAGGATATGCCCCGTCTTCCAGGTCTCCAACGTCACTGGCGAGAACCTCAACCTGGTCCGGACATTCCTCAATATCTTGCCACATCACGGCCGATATGACTCCGAGGCGCCGTTCGAGTTCCATATCAACGATACCTTCTCTGTGCCTTTCGTTGGCACTGTCGTCTCTGGAATCATCAAGTCTGGTGTCATCCACACTGGAGATAACGTCCTTGTTGGCCCAGACTCGCTGGGCAACTTCGTTCCAACCAGTGTGCGCTCCATTGAGCGGAAGCGCCTTGGAGTTCCTGCCGCATCTGCTGGCCAGTCTGCCAGTTTTGCCCTGAAAAAGTTGAGGCGAAAAGACGTCCGGAAGGGTATGGTGGTTCTGCCAAAACTTGAGGGTCAGCCCGCCCCCAAAGTGCACCGAGAGTTCATTGCTGAGGGTGAGTCATCTCCGTTCCATTTCTTGTGTTCCATGACTGTACAATGCCCCTGTCGTTCTCTGGCATCGTCGCCGGTCTCTGAATTCGTTGTTGGTGTCTGACTTCGTCGTCCGTTCGTGGCTGTGTCGTCTCTGGCGTTGTCGATGCAGTCCTTGTCCTTATCCCCAATTCCCCCGCCGGTTTTGTTGTCTGTCAACGCAACGTACTGACTAGCCCAGTGTTAATTCTCTCCCATGCGACAACCATCAAAACCAAGTATCAAGCGATGCTTCACGTTGGCCCTGTGTCGCAGACGTGCGCAATAATAGACGTCGACCGCCCTTACATCCGAACGGGCGACAGGGCAACGGTGGCCTTCCGTTTCGTGCAGAGACCAGAGTATCTTGCTCCTGGGGATAGGTTATTGTTCCGCGAGGGCAGAACCAAAGGTCTCGGAATCGTAAAATCGGTTGGATACGACCCGAACAAGCCATTATATCCTCATGGCGACGCCGAGAGCGGCGGAGTGACTAACAGCGGGAACGACGAGGAGAAGCCAGCAAACGGCCAAGAGGTCAGCGTTGGTGCTTAAACAGTCAACGTCCTATTTTGATTGTGGCATCACGACTGTCTGTCCGATGGCTCTAACATCGTCGTCTGCTGCGGTGGTCGTCGCCTTTGCTGTCGTTGTTGCTAATCCTACTCTATTGACTCGCTTATCGAGCACCTACGGAACGCAGGAGATGGAGTCGCCATGGCACAACAAGAAATAGCGCCTGTCTAGACGAGGCCTAGGAAGGAAGAGGGCCATTGTTGCGAGAAGACAGACACTGAGAACAGCGGGCCGGGCTGTGTTTGTACGATTGATTGCGGAGCGTTTCTTTTCTCAGTATGCATTGGGTTTCGGCGATACCAGGTATATACATTCAGGAGGTACAGCGAGTACCTCACACATTCATTCCTTCATAATGCACTCATGATCACATTTCGGATGTCTACTCATTCATTCCAATTCTTGAAGTGCTCATTCACAGTCCGCAACTCTCCGCCATCTTCCTCGGGAACTCTACCAATCTGGCCTCCCACCGTCCTCTCCACCTAGGCTCGATGAAATCACAGATTGCCAGTGTCTCCAGCACAGCACGCCTCCACATCCACCAATACCTTCGGTTACAGACCCTAGCAAACCAATACGCCAGCATCAGCATCGCTCTCTCGTCCTTTTGCTCCAGCAACCTCTTAAACCGCGGGTCCAGCTTGCTCAGAAACGTCAAGAACGGCTTCGCCTCCTCCGGCGACCCGGGCTCCGCCATCCGCCCCCAACACGCCGCCAACGACTCCGCCGCCGTCCAGTACGGATTATCCTCCGGCAGCCCCTCCTCCAGCTCGTACAGCTCGCAGAATCCATCCGGCAGATTCGCGCGCATGTACGCCACATCCTCGGCGCCCATCCTCAGTTTCGAGGCGGGGAGGAGGACGTGCGTGTACAGCTCGTTCGCGACGTCGCGGAAGATGCCCTCGGAGCGCAGCGGGTCCGTCAGGCGCCAGACCTGCTTCTTGCCGTCGCCGAGCTTCAGCCAGTCGAGATCCTCCCAGCAGGGCGGGCGCAGGGGCCAGGCGTCGCGCGGGGAGGCGATGTCGGAGGTGTTGGCGAAGGAGGCGACGCCGACGAAGGCGGCGGCGACCCAGAGGGCGTCGCGCTCGGCGGGCAGGATGGGCTTGGAGAGCTTGCGGTGGAGGAGGGAGATGGCGCGGTACCAGTGGTAGGTGAAGGCGGAGTTGGCGGTAAGTGTGGTGGTTGTGAGGGACATGTCGTGGAGGTGGGTTAGGGCCAGGATGGTGTGCATTACGAAGGGGTGCTGGAACGCGATGGGGAGGGTCTTTCGCTCGTAGATGTCCTTGGTGGTGGGCGTGCCGAAGCTTATGACGGTGCGCTTCTGGAAGCGCTCCAGGAGGCGGACGTCGATGGGTGTTAGTTGGTAGGCCGCGTCCGGGCTTTCGGGGGAGCCGGTGGACGGCAGCGGGGGAGGCAGGGTGCGGGGGAGATAAGACACGGCTTTACGGGCGGCGGCGGCGGGTTTCACACGGCAGGGGGCTAGGTCTACATTGAAGGCTACCTCGACTGATAGTGATGCTGCCTCAGAGGCGGGGCCGTAAGTGCAGGTCACGCCGTAGTCGAGGCATTTCTTGCAGCGGGGTTTAGATTCGTCGCACTGGAAGAGTGTTAGTCACTGACTCCGGGTGCTGGCATCATGTAGGGTAAGGAGTGGGCGAGAGCTGAGAGATGGCACATATTTGGGCGAAGACTTTGGGTCAAGAGGGTACGTACTTTGACTCTGCGCAGCTTGCAGTTCCCGCATCCCTTTCTGGATTTTGTATGGGATTTCCTCTTGCGGACATCACCTCTCGAAGGGGGAATGGAGGAAGTCATTTTTTGGTGTGCCTGCTCCTGTCTGCAACGTCGTTTGTTGTGAGGGTGTCTGTCTGGGCCCAGGTCCGTAAGCACAGTCCTGAGCACCGCTAGCTCCTCGCGATGCAATCTCACAGCCTATACAAGTTGACGTCCAGCAAGGAGCTCAGTTTGCAAGTACTGCTCGACGTTGTGTGATACGAACGGAGGCAAGAGGCAAGAAGGAAAACAGATCCTACATGGTGAGATCCCGTTTGTCCCTACCGGAGTTTAGGGAGCCCCACCTCCGGGGCCTGGGGCCCGATGGTACGCCCTTTGCCGATCGGCCGATCACCCCGGTCCGCCGTCAGCATCGGGGCCCTGATTGGGTGGATTCTGGGCGCAGGTTCCAGTCTAACCTCCGTTCGTATTCTTCAGATCCTTCGAGGTCTACTGGATGAGTTTGCATATGCTGACTTTTGGACTGGCGAAGAGCTGCGATGTTGTTGGTACGGGAGTAACCAAACTTCAACAAGAGTCACCTCGATGACTGGACTTAGATCGACTCGAGTGCCGACTCGACGTTTGAGTCTCAAAAGGACTTTTGGATGGAAGCGTGCATGAAGAGCGCCAACGACAAGCAACAACGTGGCCCATCACACTTAGCCGTTTATCCATCTTCGGAGGAAAAGAAAAAGCAACGACTCTGCGCCCGCAAGCTGAACATATCGGGAGGACCGGGCAGATTCCATTCCCAATGCGGTCTGCTTCTGCAATCGCGATCGGCTCCGGTAGTCGATGTCTGGTGGTTACGTGCATCATCAACGGGTGCTCGCGTTTACGAGGTTGCATCGATGCATGCGCGCTGTTGTTGGTGGATAGATGCTGGTTTAGTCCATGGGATGGGCTGCAGGTGAGACAAACATGATGCGGCTCCGTCTTTACTGCGACGAGATAAGCGACGACTGCGAGGACATGTGTTTGTTCGACAGAATGGGGTGCAGGGGATCGAAGATCGGACGTATCACGCACGCATTTTGCATCGTCGGGAGATCACATGGAGGAACATGCATGCGACCCTTTTCAAGGCCCAAAACGGCGATGTTTAAGATGGGCTTGTCAATCGGCAGACCGACTCCCGTGTTTTCTAAATGATGATCTTGGGGCTGGCCTCCGTCGCTGCGGCCAATGACATATCCAAGAGAACCAGATACCAAAGAATTTCGAGAGATAGTATGACGAAAGTAAGAAACGTAGTCAAACGGCAGGCTTTTTGTATATTCTATGAACCGCTGAACAGCACTAACAACCTTCCCATGTACGACCCAGCATCAACATCTAATCACTTGCCCTCAAATGGCGCCCGCATCCCTTGCTGCATAATCCTCCTCGCCGTCCTCTGCGCCCCCTCAATCACCTTCTGCTTCTGCTCCTCTGGAATCTCAGGATACAACGCCTCCAGCGGCACATCCCTCACGGTAATCTCGGACTTCTCGTGGGTACCGATCTTCTGCGTCTCGACCACGCTGCCGGCGCCGTACTTGGGCTCCTGCATCACGCGCATGACGATGGCGGCACACTCGCGCGCCGTCATGTGCACGTCGTCCTTGGTTACCTTCCTGTTCCACTCGGGCTCGAAGATGGGTGTCTGTCGCAAGGTTTAGGCGGTAATTTTCTTCAGTGAAACATAAGAAGACTCACAAGGACTGCTCCCGGGCATATGGCAGAGTACCTGATCCCGCAGATATCCCTCAACCCGCCCATACACTTGACGAAGCTCACGAGCCCGGCCTTACTCGACATGTACAGCGGCGTCTCGAACGAGTGGACGTACCCGCCGACGCTCGCCACAGCGACAAAGTTGCCCTGCACCTGCTTGTTCTGCGTCCAGTAGTCCGTGGCTATCTGCGCCAGCCGGATCGGCGCGACCTGGTTGACGGCAATGATGCGGTACTGGCCGACGGCCGCGTCGGCAGGGTCCCCAGACTCCGCTGAGACGCCGGGCGGGTACCAGAAGTTGCTCTCCGGGGGCTCGTAGATGCCCGCCACGGCGGCGACGATGTCGACGCGCCCGAAGAGCGCGAGGGTCGTCTCCCAGAGGGACTGCAGCTGTGCCCAGTCGGCGACGTCGGTGCGGTGGAAGTGCGCGGAGGCGGGGCCGTTGGCGGACGGGGAGGGCGGGCCGCGGTGCTGGGCGAGGGTCGCCTCGGCTTCCGGGCGGAGGCGGAGGTCGGCCATGACGACGGAGCAGCCTGCCTCGAGGAGTAGCTGGGTCAGGCTGTGGCCTATGCCGGAGCCGGCGCCGGTGACGAGGGCGACTTTGCCCTGGACTTCGTAGAAGGACATTGCTGACGAGATATGCAGTGAGGAAGAAGATGGGAGCACACAGATGGCATGGAAGATGACAGGAAGTCAAGATAGAGGGGTTGCCGTCTCTGGGTATTTGTAGCTCGTCGGCTTAGACTTGGCCTCGCGTGGGGGGTTAAGAAGTCCATCTTCAGCATCCATCCTCACCTCCGCCTGCGCCTGAATGCGCCTAAATTGGCGGGTAGCCGCATCCCGGCAAGTCTTCCAGAAGTCCGGGACGCAATAAATGTGATGGGCCGTCTTGTCCTTGCTGCGCTATTTGTGCCCGTCACTTGTCCCCTTTCTGGAACCAACAAGCAGGTGGTGTGACCAACGCGCATCAGTCCACACCCATGTCCAGAGATTTCTCGACCGGTGAGGTGCAGGGAGGATGACAAGGTGTTGATCCCTCGAGGAGGGTGGTAATCGCCTGTTTGAACTTTGCGGTTGTCCGTATCGACGACGGGCGGTTTCCGAGGCACGAGAGGCTCCATCGACAGAGGGATGGAGAGCTGGAGATGGGCATCCCCGCTGGAGCGTTCCCGGTTAGCGGTACGAACAAGCTGGAGCAGCCCAAGCTGCCATGTGGTGCTAGTGAGGTTCCTCTCCACAGGGACGTTCAAAAAGGCCCCTGGAAGCCCGCGAACACGGGCGTTTGCACTCTGTTGGTCCACGATTTCCCCTGGCCAACCCTGCTGATGGGCAATGTCACCCCCACCAACAGTGGCACCGTCTACTGCAGATATCCCGGGAACCAGCACCAACGACAAGATGCGCTGCTGCAGCTGTCCAGATGCGGCCTGGGTTGAGCGGTCTGCGAGCGATGTGATGGGGGAAAAGGGCCTTTGGTGCGCTGCCTATGGGAAATAGCTATCATTTTAAGGTTTATCATCGCATATCGTCTGCTTTTTGCAGCCATGCCAGGACTCGAGACCCTCAATTACTCGAGGATGTGTTTCAGGCGGTCCCCTGCATTTTCCCAAAGTAGAAAATGCTTTTCCCTGCTGGTCGGAATCCTTCGTCGAGGGATGTGATGGGAGTGTGGGATCACACTGATCTTGCAACGTGAGACCCGCAACTGATAAACGCACACGATGTAGGGTGAAGTGAGTTGTGATGACAAGAACTCTCGGGCGGGGAAGTTCGTTTTGGATCTCTGGAAGCCGCTTCTTCGACCTTCGGACAAGTGCAAACCTCGCATCACGCATCACTGCGGCCCATATCTTACACATCATCATAGTATCATTTGATAAGTCAAACCAAGTGTTACTGAAATCTACAGAAACAAGATCTACCTCGTTCTATGCAAGACACACGGTGACATGGTAGCCACGAAAGACGCCATCTAACCATATGCAAGCCTCTATTCTACCGCAACACGCCAGTTTCTACAACCACAAATCATGGCCGTCTATTTCGCAATCTCAACGCCTCCAGTGGCACCCAGAGCCTTCTTCAAATCACCATAAATCGCAAACTGTCCCGCCGTCAGCGCACCAACCATGAAAAGACGCGCCGGCAGACCGCTGAACGATCCACGAACACCAAGCTCCTTGGCAATCTTGACCAGCCTGCTCGTCGTGCTTTCTCCAGGGAGGCCCTTGGTCTTGTTAATCTTGGACAGCATGGTGTCCGCGGGCTGCGACACGATGGCCGCCGCGAAGCCCGCAATGAGGCCGGAGCCGAGGTTGATCGTCGTCTGCATGCCGTCGCTCGTCTTGCTCTTGTCGAAGAAGTTGGCGTACGCGAACTCGGAGACCTTCTCGAACGCGACGAACTTGGTCATGGTGTACGGCACCTGCTTGAAGAGGATGGGCCCGAAGCCCGAGTAGAAGGCGGCAAGGCCCTCCTGGCTGGCGATCTTGGAGAAGCCAGAAACCAGGCCGGAGGCGAAGCCGGGCTGCGAGACGAGGCGGATGCGCGTGGCCTCGAGCGGGCACAGGGCGATGTCGGCGAAGAACTCGGCGGCGGCGGCGGAGACGCAGTAGACGGCGATACGGTTGGCGCGCGCGTTCTCGTAGCCGACGGTGTCGATGGACTTTTGCTTGAAGAACTCGTAGCCGCCGAACTTGAGGGCGCCCTGGAGGAAGTAGCCGGCGAACGTGGGACCGGCGCCGGTGAGGAGGGCGCCGGCGCCTTCGGTCTGGATCACCTGGCGGAACCCGCCGATGAGGCCGCGGTTGTAGGTTGCGGGATCCAGTTGGATGCGGGTCTTGACGCTGGAGGTGTGTTAACGTTGTGCGCTTCTGGATAGGTGAGGAATTTGCGGGAGGACGTACACGTCAACGGGGGTGAGACCGCCGTGGGTGACGGAACAGCACACGGCGCCGGCCAGGGCGAACCTCGAGTAGAGGTTGAGGCCGGAGAGCTTCTCGGGCTCGGCCTTGACAGCGGCGAGCGTCGGGGCGGCAGTCGTTCCACTCATCTTGCCGGTATTTGACTGTGAGTGAGGAGGGGAGGGGAGATTTCACCTAGATTCGTGAAGTGAGAAGGGAGGTGAGATGAGTCAAATGAGGCTGCGCTGAGTGGTTAAAGCGACGGTCGCCGAGCACGTGCGGGAGAAGTCACAGGGACGGCCCGCTAATACACCGGGTACTGCAGGGGGTGTTTTGGGACTTTTGTTGTTTATCGTCGGCTATGCGTAGGTAATACGAAGAAGATAGTTGGTACGCCAGCCCCCTGAACTTCGGGTTGCCTGGGCCCGGGAATGGCCGGAGGAAAGCGGGTGTCGCCGGGGCGAATGTCCGGGCGTTGGCGCCGGCTTTGTTTGCGGCGGGAACGGGCCTCTTCGAGGTTTCACGGTATTTCTGAACGGTCGCCTCCGAAGATGTAAAGGTTGCATTTGTGGAGGAGGAGAACCCGATTGGCAAAACTGCTCGTACCCCGCTCCGTGCGGTGAATTGGCTGCCATTGAATGCTACGCCTTCTCCGACGACAAGGTGCTGGGCATTGGAATGGACATTCCACTCATCTCCTCCGGAGACAGCCAGGCTTACATGGATCTGCGATGCTAACCTGTCCTCGTACCCTCTGAATCCTGCGCTAGCCAAGCTTCGTACCACATCTCAGGGTCCGAGGGGCCGAGATAGCCACAGAGACTTCAGTGGGAAATGTTACTCTTTTTCCCCCGTCAAGTCCATCATGAGGTTTCCATTGCTGGGATTCAAGATCCAAACCGTATCGTAATAGGTCGAGGGTGGGCGGCAGTAAGGATTTCCATGATCGCAGTTAAGGCTTTCTAAGGCCGTCCTACATCGGGCAATGTAGACCGCGAAAGTGGAAAGGATGAGAGTATAAAGCATTTCGCCCTTCAACATCTTCCAGAGCAGTTCTAATAATAACCTCAAAGTCTATGAGTATAATACTGGAAATACCATATTGCGTTCAATATGACTCCATTTCCATCTCAAATGCGCGCCCTACACCTTCTTTCCCCTGGACAAGCAACGCTTGCGTCCCTCCCCACCCCTTCTCCACGACCAGGAGCCATACTTATCCGCATCCTGACAATTTACGTCCAGTCCAACACCGTCGACATTCTAAACGCCTCTCATCCCCTCTATGAGCTACCATACCCGGTCATCCCAGGCACAAACGCCATCGGCCGCATCGCCGCCCTCTCCCCCGACACTACCTCTTTCAAAGAGGGTGACTTAGTCCTCCTCGACTCATTCATCCGGGCCCGCGACGACCCCTGGAACGTACAGATCCTTTGGGGAGCAAATGCTGGCATCACGCCGGCTTCCAAGGAGTTTTTGAGGGGGAACTGGAGAGATGGGTGCATGGCTGAATATGCTCTGGCACCGCTCGAGAATGTGCACCTGCTGGACGAGATGAGGCTGACCGGTTCGCCATCAAATGGCGGCCTCGGCTACAGCATCAATGAGTTGCTTTATCTCGTCTCTTGCATCATTGTCTACGGCGGTTTGAAGGGTATCAACCTGCAGCCCGGGGAGAGAATCATCGTCACCCCGGCGACGGGAGCATCTTCCGGTGCAGCGGTGGCCGTGGCTCAAGCCATGGGCACAAACGTCATTGCCGCCTCTCGCTCGGCCTCGAAGCTTGCGTCGCTGAAAGCTTCGATTCCAACTTCACTCGGCAGGCGGCCGATCGAGACAGTCGTGATGACGGAGGACATCGAGAAAGATACTGCTGCCCTGAGAGCCTTTGGGCCTGTCGACGCGGTGATTGACATGTCGCCCCCGGCGGCGACTGGATCACAGCATATCAGGTCTGCGGTGTTGGCCCTCCGGGCGTATGGTCGGGTGTCGCTGATGGGAGGGCGGGCTGATGAGAGCCTTCCGTTCCCGTGGTTTACCGTTCTTGCGAATAACTTGACCATCAAGGGCCAGTTCATGTATGAAAGGAAGGACGTGAAGGAGCTCATCAGCTTGGCCGAGTCGGGACTGCTGATTATGGGGAGAGAGGCGGGGCATGAGGTGGAAGAGTTTCCTATCGAGAGGTGGGAGACTGCGGTGGACTTTGCGGCGAAGAATGTTGGGCACGGGAAGATGACTTGCATTGTGCCGTGAGCTTCTTGTCGCATGGAGAGCGTCGGGTGGAGGGATGGATTTCCACATGGACGCACGTTGTTTCTTTTCGATTGCTAATTCCACTTCATTTTACATGCGTGCCTTGCACGTCATCTATTGGGTGCGTGCAACCCTAACCAGTCCCTCTCCACGATCATCCGTATCCTCACAACCTGCTCCAATGTTGCATACCAGCATAGGCGGGCGAGGACACCACAGGTGGTTCCTGGGTTCGCGATACTTATAAATCATAGCCCTAGGTGGCCTGGAGCAATTATTGGATAAAGAATTATTGGATAAGGCTGTCATCAGCACGCTTAGCTACAAGAAATGCAAGGAATCGTGACAAGAACCCACCATATCTGCAGGTAAAAGACTTGGCGTTATGCAGCTATTCGTGAAAAGATCATTTTACCCCGCCCACTTCGAAATCTCGAATTCGCCATCAATACATCTTCCATCTACGTCACACGTGCCTTCTTATTCCATCATTGGCAGCTAGAGATTCCTATGGCTTTGTGTTCTCACTGCCAAACTCTCGACTTCCGCTTTGTTGGATACTACTACCCCGAATTAGACTATCCAAGGAACTTGGTTGCGGCGGACGTTGGATTGGAAAATGAGGAAGAGGAAGATGGAAGATCCAACTTATCAACGACACTCGATATAGGCAAAGACGAAAACAACCTAGACGATAATGAAGCTGTGACCGAATGGGGGTATGATGAAGAATTATCCGCGACTTCTGACACTAGCTCCTCGCGAGGGCCCCCAGGAAACGAAGACCTTTCGCTAGGAGAAGCTCTCGATCGCCAAGACGTTTGCCTGTTTTGCAGACAGATCTCGTCTCTGTTCAGCGCCTGGTCTGCAAGATTCTGGCCAAACCCGTCCCAACAGGACCTAGCTAGCGGCACGGTTTCATTCTCTGGAGAAGCCTTCGGTTTGGTTAACGAGGCTACACACACAAGACACAATGATAGCCTCTGTGTGGCAAATGTGTCGGTCACACTCAACCGTTGCCAGGACGGAGCTGTGATGCATTATCAGCGAACTAGGGAATATCCGCCCACCGTCACAGAGATGTGCGACCGATTAGAGCCGCCAAACAGAGATTCCAAGCAAAGGGATACCTCCGTATGGCTGGACTTGGAGCCATATTATGGCCGCATACGGCCGCCCGAGATCGACTTCCGATTGCTGAGAGAATGGAAACGAATTTGTGACGATACTCACGGAAATTCGTGCGGCCTAACATCAATTCATACCAAGCGACGGCCCGATATGATCCGCTGCATAGACGCCAATACAATGTGCATCGTTGAACTGCGGGATCTGGGAGCCAAATGGGTGGCGCTGAGTTATGTCTGGGGCAAGCGACCTTTCAGAGTTTTGGAGAAGGATTCGTTGGGATCGCTGCGATGCCCTGGAGCTCTGGACTCATCGTGGATACCGGATACCATCCTAGACGCCATCGCCGTCACGCGAAGGATAGGGGAGAGATACCTCTGGACCGACAGCCTCTGCATCATTCAAGACTCGCCCCAAGACAAAGCAACCTTCATCCCGCTCATGGACGTAATATATGGACTGGCGTCACTGACCATCGTCGCCCTATCCGGAGAAGGCGCATACGACGGGCTCCCCGGGGTTCGTACGTCGTCTCGACCCCCGGCAGAAGGGCCGTTGTTCTTGAACGGGGTGTGGCTACAGAAGGCCCCGCCCCTTGACGGGTTGGGATTTACCCCGGCGGATCGAAGTCGGAGCCGGTACATGACACGCGGGTGGACTTTTCAAGAAATGTTGCTATCCCGCCGGCTGCTGATATTCACGCCAGAGGTGGTGTTTTGGGAGTGTCAATCGGCTACTTGGCGTGAAGACGCCAACTGGGAGATTCTGGATCCCGTCGACCGTGGTCTTACACTCTTTCGCAACAGCGTTTTCGGTTTCGAGCACGAGGGCATCCATGTCCCAAAGGCCGATCCGGAGTCTTTCAACCGGATGTATCAGAGCTTGGTATCTGACTATGGCCGAAGAGAATTAACTTACGACGAAGACGGTTTAGCCGCTATCGGGGGGATTCTAGCCTCAATTGAGCTCACCAGCGGGATTGGCTTTACCTGGGGGCTGCCGAAGCCATACCTCGGCGTGGCAATTACATGGCCGGCAGACAACAACGCCAGCAGGGTTCGCAGGCGCAAAGCTACTTACACAATCGTCGCCGACAACAACACGATATATGTCCCGTACCCGAGCTGGTCCTGGGTTGGGTGGGTAGGCCCGAATCTGTTCGACGACCTGTTCGGCCACCTGGCGGGGGAACACGCTGGTTTGGTGTTTTACATGCTTGACGGTGAGAAGGACCGGCTCATCTTCATCGAACAGAACCAGGAGTTTATCAAGATGGAAAGCACCAACAGAACCCATCGCAGGGCGCCACCAACTTGGAGAGAAGACGTCCTTCGTGAGGTGTCCATGAAGCATGTCCCGCAATCGCTGCTTGTCCCGGAGCTAAGACCAGCAGTTTTGATCTTCTGGACTAGTTGCTGCACCTTGGTGTTGGACCATACCATGACACGGTCGGTTGTACGCCAGGAAGAGAGAAAGTTACACCGAGCAAATGAAGGCGAGGACGAGAAAGAAGAGGATTCAGACGATGAACAGTCCAGACGGGTTCAGATGTTACGTGATCGTAGAGGGAACAAGGTGAGGGTGGTGTGGGATCATTACCTCAATGACATGACTGCTGCATCTGGCGAAGCAGAGTTGATCATCGTGGGACGGAGCAGTACGGAGTACGCCAGACCTCGTAGTGAGTTGGTTGCTTATATGGTGGAGAAGCATCCCTCGGGCGCGAGGACTCGAGTAGTGAGTGCTACCGTGGCTGAAGAGGAATGGAATGCTTTGGCAGATAGGAGATGGGAGCTGGTATTTCTGTTGTGAGGAATACCTTCGAAACCCAACTGTATGGTTTCCATGGAAGTTGTTCGACCAGAAGGAATAACTGCGATGCGACCACTTGGTCTCATTGCACACTCGGGTCGGACGTCTCAGTTTCGCAGCCTTTGCTTGGTAGTATTTCCGAAAGTCAGAATGAACGAGACAATCAACGGTTGTTTGTTTCTGGCCGTCTAATCAGTGAGACATGAGCAGCCGATGGCCTGTGTGACCACCATCCCAAATCACAGTTTGAAGAAGTGAGTTCGGGCAGAGTATGGGTTTCTTGAAGACTGAGGTAAGCAAACAACAGGATGAACTGGTTTGTGGTGATGGCAAGCTGAAGGAGGACAGCAAGCAGGGGAGCGATGGGTGGCGGACGAGGAATGAGGCGAGGCGAGGCGAGTGCAGCTGGAGCGCCGTGCAGTGGAGCGAATCAGGGGTGCCACGAGCACAGCACCCCGACCGAAGGGACATCTCCCACTGGTTTGACTGGCTTACAGCACCTCAACGTAGGTTCCTAGGTAAGATAGGTACCTAAGGTACCTAGGTAGGCTAAGTAGGTACAGGCCCCCCGTGCGACACCCGACCAATCACAGACCCACCAAGGGGCCGCTGCATCGTCACCTCAAACGCGAAAAGTGTTTCGTTTTCCTCCCGTCGTCCTCTCGTCCTCTCGTCTGCCTTTCTGCCCGTCTGTCGCCCTCTTTTGCCTTCTCCCTGGCCAAACATCCTGACACAGGGCCGCGAGAAGGGTCCAGAAGAGGCCCCCGACTGGCCTTCCCCGTCCTCACGCTCCCTGCCCGTTCGTTTGATGGCGTCGAGAGTTCGCGCCTGTCAGATGGCGACATGGCGTTTGCACGGAGGCGCGAATGGCTGCAAGGCACCTCGACGCGCATGGAATCGCATTGGATTGGATAGCCATCCACGGATATCATGCTCAGCTGCGGGAGATGTGCGATGACCTATCCACCTGCTGTTGGCCAGATTCGAGAGGCCGTCTCGATTGACATCACCCTCTGGGGAAAGGAGGAGGTCGATGGTGATGACCCGAGAAAAAGAGATTCTGTACTTCATCAACCCACCCACCCTCTCCCCATTCTCCTCCTCGTCTGTCCGTATTCATCCATCATCTCCCAAAGGCCAGCCGCATCTCGTCCTCAGCTCCCGTGTCAGACCCGACCCTGAAAACCCAAATGCAGTCACAGCAGCACTGTTTGGGTGTCATTCAGCAGCGGACGGCAGCTCCCCGTTTCACCACCTCTACTCCTCAGATCAGCAGCGTTTGATCGCACTCTCCCTGCCTTTGTCTTTGTCTCTTCTTCTGCGCCGCGTACCTTACATAGGCACAGAGAGAGTACATTCTGCACCCTTCTCAGCCCACCTCCGGACCGACGCCCGCCACACAAAACGCATCTGCCCGTTGGTGCCACCGCACATCGCATCGTCGAGACCTTAATCATCTCGACCCTGGACTGACAGAGAAACTCTCTTGACTTTCGGACAAGCGCCATCCGTCGGGTCTGGCAAGAACGGGACACTCGAGTGGATTGCCTGTCAACACTCTCAGGAAAAGAAAGAAAGAGAGACTGATCAGCCGTCACTTCCCTTGCTCATCTACCCCAGGTCGCTGGCACCTGACTCGACTTACAAGCTTGAGTCGTCGACACAAGCCCCTTCTTCGATTGAGTCCGTCGCAACTGCTCGACCCTCGGCGGCAACATCACAATCGGCGGGCGCCTTCACCAGCATCAGTCCCAACTCCTCTTCGTCCCTTCTCTTCGACCCTTTGGCCGAGAAGTCCGGCCCGTAAAGTCTCCCTTTCCCTCAGACTGCCGATTATCCTGCCCATCATCGCCCCATGCGGCAGTAACGAGGCCCATCAACAACCCTGTCTCACCAGCGCCGGCCAGAGAAGCAACCGCCAGCCCAATTATCCCGACAACACCTCATAGCATTGACGAGATCGCCCCCAAAGCAGAGTGCATGAACTCCCCGGCCTCACCACATCTCTTCCATCATCTTCGCAGCCTTTTTGGACCTCTGCCCACTCGTTTTTTACCCAGCCGTCTGGTCGTCCCAGCTGCTGCAAGTCCTAGACCCTGGTTTCTTGGCTGCTCCCCGGTCCCGCATTGACCGTGCTTCTTCTTTGCCAGCCGATCGTGCCGTCATTCCCAGCGGCCTCTGATACGCAACACGTTTCGGCCCTCGTGTTTTCGGTTGCCTTGCCGCGCTTGAGCTGCCACGGTGCTGTCATTTCCAGCCCAAAACTCAACCGCTTCCCAGCCAGCCGAATCCTGGTCTGTCAACTGCTCTTCAATCCATATTCCTGGCCGCTTGTCGGTGCCAATCGACCCAGCGACTAAAACCACCTTCTTACAAACATCGACGACGATATCTCGACGACAACCACATCCACGAGACGGCCTCAACTCAATTTCGACCGAAGGCGACTGCGCCTGAGGACCCTTACAATTTACGCTCGTTGACGGACAGAAACACACGGCCAAGATGACTACGTCAAGGCATCAGCGCTCCCAGCAGCGCTTGGTCCAGCTCCTGTTCCTGGCGTCCGCCTCGACAGCAGCCATCATCAGCATCGGAGGAACTGATCTGACCCTCTCAAACTTTCAACTCCTCACACAACTATCCATACCTCTGGGCTGCCTTTTGACTTATAACAACCCCATCCAAGGATGCACGGCGAACGACTTCTCGAGTACCGGCACCTGTTCGGCGTCTTGCAGGCGCGGCCTGTTGCTCATGCAAACCAACATTCAAGATGTCTGCCAGTCAGTCTCAGTTCAAGCCAATACGGTGCTTGGCCAGGCTCTAGCAGGAAACCTTCTCGGCCTGCTCTGCTCGAGTAACCAGGTCACAACCACTTCAGCAGCACCGACAGTCCGGCCGACTTCGACCGTGATAGTGCCGCCGCCATCATCAACTGTTGTTGCGCCTCCGCCTCCGCCGGCTACCACCGTGCCTCCTGTCATCCCACCCCCGGCGACTACATCAATAGCTGCACCACCGCCAACTCAACCGCCCGTAATTCCTCCGCCCAGCACGGCGGCGCCACCAGTATCATCGCCACCGCCGCCTGTAGTACCGCCACCGCCGGCACCCACGACTGTCGTCACTTCTACGACATCCAACGCGGCAGCACCACAGAGTACGTCGGCGGAGACTACGAAACCTCCGGTCAACCCATTGGATGCTTTGCTTCTTAGCAATGATTCACATGCAGCCTTCGCGCCGTCCAACTGGGGTATATTAATCACTATTGCTTTAATTCTCCGCGCAATTTAGTATCTTAAGCCGGACCTCCTGGCCGGCGAAGAGCCCGCGCCTCCACCCATTTTACCGGTCGCCAATGAAGGGAATGGGCATCACCCCGAGTTACCTGTCATTGTTGAACAACCGGATGTCCCTGTCTTGCCATAGGGAAGGCAGACGATGCGGGCGACTTTTGGACGTTTCTACGTTTGGCTTATGAATGAGGATGGTGTCAGAGAGGAACAGGGAAGGAGGAGGAGAAGAGGTCTCCAAAATGGCGTTTACTTGAATCAAAGGGGCAACCTGGCAATCCGCCGCAGGAATCGAGGAGGCCTTTGAGGAGCTGGACGCCGCAAGTCCATGGCTGATCTCGAAGGAAGACGGTCAACTAATATGTATCACCACGGATTTCCTTTGTTTGCATTACAGAGGCGTTGGGTATGACCTCCGCAAGAAAATGGGAGGCTAAGGGGCAGCGATTATACATCGCGTGTGGATTATGATCCTCCACAAGACAGCGCGTTCGAGATACCTTCCTTCATTAGGACTTTGTAACATTAGATACCACAGCGTACTGCTCACGTAGACATAGACGGAGCAAGCCACGACAATCAATGATAGTCATAGTCAAACAGCACCACCAGTGTTCATTTTGATTTCCCTCCGTCGTGAAGATCATCCGAGCCCGAAGAACTCGGACATGACGCACCTCCAGACTCCCCAAGACTGCGCATAAATCTAGGCCACCCGGGACAAGGGTCCCCAGGCAACGATTCCCCGCCTCCCCGTCCGGCCACCACTTCGACCGATGCAAGACCCCAGCCCGGACCCAGCATCGCATCAACGCCCTGCCGTGCCGCCGCTGCTTGTGAGTGGCCCAACAGCCGCAATCCGAGTTCTGACGTTCATGCGGTGGGGGCGGCGTGCCGTGTAGATGGGTGCGCGGGCACAGGCCGGCTGGGTTCTGGGCTTTTTGGGTATCGCTGGATTGGGACATGCAGGTCTGGCCTTGAGGCCGGTTTGGGACAGAGCCAAGAGAAGGTTATTTGGAGGGGAAGATGGAGGGTAATCGGGGTCCACATGTCGCGTGGATTGAGGTTTGAGGTTTTGGAGTTGGGGGAAGGGATCTTGGGGAGGATGAAGGGGAGGGTTGAGATGGATTGGTGGGAGGGTGGAGAATGGAGTTAAGGACTATGTGGGCGCCTCGATTGCACTCATTTGCGTTTGCGTTACCCGAAACCCCTGTCGCAGTTGGGGGCCAAAACGGCTTTTTTTCAACGCAGTGGCCAAAAAAGCCCCTTTTTCAGTAAAACAAACTAGAAAAAGCCATCAATTGCGCAACGCGCAGCGCATACGCCCGAATAAAAAAGATACCTCTAGAATTAGCGAAATCAGGGCTATCGATTAGTATACTTTTTAGTCGGGCGCATTGCTGTTTCAAAAAGTCGATTTTTCCGCGTTCGTTCTCGATTAAAAACGCGTTATTGATTGAAAATAGAGTTTTTCATCGTTTTCCGCCCATTTTTAGTCCAAAAATGAACTTCTTAGAAACTCTATGTACCCGATCAAAAAGTATACTAATCGATAGCCCTGATTTCGCTGATTTTAGAGGTATCTTTTTTATTCGGGCGCATGCGCTGCGCGTTGCGCAATTATCGAAAAAGAGGTCAATTGAAGTCGAAAAAAAGCCCGTTTGAGGGGCGATAAATGCCGCATTTGCAGGGGTTTCGGGTAACGCAAACGCAAATGAGTGTGGCTGGGTACATGTACTGAAGACACATGGAGGAAGTAGTATATAATGGGCCTAACGGATCGTCAAACAGATCGCAGCAGACAATGAAACGGGCCAAATAGCTGACAGGATGCCATTCATCTTCCCTAGACTGGATGTGGTTCCTGTGAAAGCTTTCTCGTCCAGGGCGACACGACCCAGTTTTGGGCAGGCAAGCGTAGCAAGAAGCTTGGCCGTCATCTTGCATTTCGGGTGTCTTCAAGTTATTCGAGATTTAATATGGGTGTGCGATACTTGATAGGTCTCAACTAAGAGGGCGGTGGACGCTGGTGCTGATGTGTGACGCGCCGTGGTAGTTGATGGGGGCGACTTGGGAGTGATTTGTGAGGGCAAAACGCTACAAGCCAAGCTCCGAATTGCTGTCGGGGGTTCCTGATTTCAAAACAAGCACCTGGAGAGCATTTAATTCATTTCTTGGAGGTCGTAATGGCCCAGACTAGGGGTCCTTCGCTCCGTGCAATCGGGACGTAGGTATATATTGATAGCGCTGATCGATTAGAAACTGATTCAACGAATGCTTTCTGAGGGATGGTGCGTTGAAAAGTTACATTAGACTGGGATGGCTTCCAACTACTCGTAGTCTGCATTGCTTCACGGCAGGATGGCCGTTTTATCCACTCACTTCGAACAAACCGATCTCATCTCTCAACAATCTTACGGAACAGAATACGTTGACGTTGACGGCGATGACGGACAATGCTGTCTGGGTTGAGGACCCAGAGTCATTGGAAGGCGTACGAAGAGCCCGAGAACTCTGTACCTTGGTCACGCTAACCTTAGTCTTTTGGCGAGTCCATACATGACATTAATTTGTCGCTCCTGGGGTCTCCTTCGATACGACTTTGACTATGATATACTGACGAGCCAGTCACATGTGTGAGCTTACTCCTCTCTGGAAAATGCTTAATTGGCATTTCTGTATATAAAGTCTACGTGAAGTGGTATGCGAGACAGAGCACCGAATTATGACTGGTTTTGGCATCTCGCGATATGTGCGGCAGTTGATAGGGTATTGGCAGGCAGTTTCATCATAAAAGGCCAAGTTGGTTTTGCGCGCCGAGGAATCTGATGAATATTCCATGAACCCTAATTATCAAGCTGTCGTCTAGTGGTGGCGTCCTTGGGATATCGTATACGAATAGCATCAGAATGCACAAGGAACCTCATCTGAAACAACATGCGGAGGGCTCTGCGGACGGTTTCCGTAACTACGTGTATTCAGGGGCAAAATGGAAGGTTTACGACAATCAACAAATCGCATTTCGTGCCAGCCTTCTATCTCCTCGCAGTAGCGAAGGCAATTTAGTCCGTTTCATTGGTCGTGTCTTGTCCTGTTATGGCCTACTTAAATGGGCCGTTGGTCGATGAATGATGCTTACGGAGGCACAAATGTAGACGCTCCAGACACAGCAGTATTAGTTCAAAGGATATCTTCCGCCCAAATACGGCAGGCTTCACTCACCACAAAAGAACAGAGAAAGAAAAGGGAACCAAGTCCGGCCGAAATCCATCTTTCGTATAGTACAAAGTGGAATACGTCAGAAGTCCGGACGATGACGGACGTCGACGCGTTAGAATCATGGATGTTGTTTGAACAGATGCCGAAAGAGTTCTGTGACTAATCTAATGATGCTGAGATCTGAGGAGATGGACTACACGATAAAACCACGAGCACTAATTGGTTGACGAAATCAATTTGTGTAGTGACGCCCATTTATATCCCCTTTCCCTCAACAGACTTCCGTGGATGCTGCTGATTTGGAGTTCCTTTTCAGTACGAACGCCATGCTTTATCGAAGAGGAAGAGCATTCCGTCCCCGTCAAATCTTATTTCGCCCTATGCGCGAAGAACAAAAACCAGATCCTGATTCCTGTCATCATAGACATAACAGACCACCTGTCTCCCAGCTCCCCAGTCAAGCCTCTCCCCTTGAACTCGAAGTAGAAAGGCTTGTTTACACTCAAAGACCCCTTGAATAGAATAGCAGCTAGAGCCTCACTCTCGGGCTCGCTACCACCAACGTCACTGCTCGTCTTTTCGGGCCGGATATCGGACTTGAGACGGAACAGCTCGAACCCGTTGTTGTACCCATTCAACCCATCCTTACTCGTCCTTCTCCATTCAAAGTCTTCGCGCAAGAGCCTGCTAGTTCCAGCCTCGTTGTTAGGCTGCGGAACTTCGATAGAGAACCGGAAAGAGTCAACGTGGCTGCCGTTGAAGATCACCGGTCGCAGGTCCTCCGTCGCGTGCTTTTCCTCCTTTCCTTTTCCAGAGGGATATGCCTCCAGGGATGGCAGAATCATGGAACTGTGCAAAGTTCGGGGATAGTTGGCCAAAGGCGACCAGTTCTTCTCATCCGAACAGACGGCCAGAACAGGGTCCTCGGGGTTCGGTCCGTTGTGCAGGATGATGCAGGGGATGCCGGGGCTCTTGCTGCTGGTCCCGCTCCAAGAGGAGACCGCGAAAAGCTTGTGGTTGTTGCTGTCGCCCAGATGGAAGGTGCGCGTGATCTTCAACTGGTAATATGCGCTCATGGATGAGGGGAATGGCTGGTACGGCGTGGTGGAGGGGCTCATTTGGAACGGCCCTTGAGTTGCGGACGATGACGACGATGAAGCGGCGGTGTCGAACGGTGTGTAGGCGGGTGGAGCCACGCCCGGTGCCGATGAGCCGAGTTCGGCTTTGTCTTCGAATGGGTTGCCCATAATGAAATCGTTATTTCCTAGGCAGGTTGAGTCTGTAGCCAAACTGGCGCGAGTAAGGATCAGAGTGCAGGTAGTGTTTCTGTGTGTAGAGACCTGCGATGGGATAGGAGCGCGCTTTATTATCTCGTGGAATGGGACTTTGGGTGGGCTGTGGTTAGTCTACGTGGGGGCTTAGAGAAGATCGGCATGTTTTGTTGACGAAAATGACCCTTTGATTGAGAGAAGATGGAGAAAACTGGAGCCCTGCAATGTACTTTTGTATTGCAGCCTAGATGTACTCTCGACAAGATGGCTGACGGGCTATTCATCAACGGTTTATTGTTGGCGATCATTAGTTTCTTCGACTCCACGAGATGCCCAAGTCTAAGGCAAGTTTCCGACGTTGTTGGCAGACACCAGACCCTGGCTCGCAGCTTGCAAGACTGAGGTACCCATGTCAAACAAGCTGCATCATTCCAGTGTTCAAGCGTGATTGCAAACCACTGCCAACATCGTCAAAACATGGAGGTAGCTCTGGATCATTCCACACCGGTTGACCGCAATTTCATCAGTAAAGGCTGTCCACATTGTGCAGTATGTCAACGAAAATTGAACACCCCCACCCATCCGAGTAATGTCTCTTTATGATGCTCCTCGCAGGCCACTAGAAGTAACTTCTTAAGCTTGAAGTTGCAAGCAGCAGACCATAGCCCAAAATGTCCTGTGAACGAGCAATTCGTTGGAGATACCAGACATTCAAAGACTCAATGTTTGGCTTTAGCGTCCAAACTCCCGGCTCTTCCAATAATGCTTTTGCTCTCAACTGATTATTCCATTACGAAAGACTACTGACTAAACTGCGCTCTATTGAATATGAGCGTGGATCCATCATTCAGCTAACCAAAAGACTGCTTTCGCGAGATCCTGTGTTCTTTCTCAAACCTGAGACGAGCCACTAGATGATCTTCTACCGATACAGGCGTAAACATTCCTCGCAGGGCCCCATATGAGAGCAGCGTGTGTTGCGACACTTGATGAGCGGGGCGGTCGGTGGGTCATTTCGCCGTTTGCATCCGCAACAAGTCCACGGAGACTGCAAGTTCAGGTCTTCGAACTTGTCTTGGAATACCATCTGGGAATCCTTATGAAATCTGCGACCTCCCATTGCGTAGTTATCTTGGTCTGTCAAGCTGTAATGTGAAAGATACCGAAACTTACGATTATCGGAGATTTGAGCCAATTCTAGCAAGTGTGTTTTGTGTGTTGAAGAGAGGAGAAGTGAGAGAACAGCGTCCTTAGCAGATAGACCATGTATTTATATGGCTTGAAGCTCAATGCCAACAGCTCGTCATTGATCAAGGACTGTGAGCATGCTGCGTCGAGGTCAGTCACAGAGTATGGAGTCAAATGTAGTGAGCAAAACAGAGGAACGAGTGGAGGACTGTTTGTATGACTGGCAAGATATCTAAGCAAATGATTCCGTCTGTAAAGACTCTGCCAATCCGTATTGTTTGCAGCAGTATGCTTGATGAAACTCAGCAGGAGGGCTGCCTGATCACCTATTGCAAAGGCACTCACATGGCGAGTTAATTTGCCGGCGGACTGGAGCCGTCATTTGCATACTATGAGAGATTTCCAGTGTTTCACCTCTGACAAGAGACAACTACGGCTCACCTTACAGCAAATAACAGCATATTCTGTGATTGTGTCGAGAATCGCCTCACTATGTGGCCGGTTATTGTTTGTTCTGCCTCTTTGAACATGTGATTGCGCCTTTAAATTCAGTCCATGGAAACATTTCACGATGTCGAGTGCTCTCATTCCAAAGGAAAAGAAAAACACGAATGACCGGCCAAGAGAGCAGACATTGGACTACTATTATTTGGTTCCGGTCATGATATGACTGAGGTATATTCTGGCAAATTTGCAGTGAGGGGTCCTCCGCCATTCCCTCGCTGACATCAAATTCATCCCGCAATGCCCAGACTAAAACCGACCGGGCACCGCTTGTAGCTGTCAGAAAAGCATCAGCACTATCGGACTTTGCGTGATCATGAAAGACCACTTTCCGAGCCGGCCTATCAGTCCGAAGTTCAGCCATGCAGTCATAGCCCAGGACAGATAGCTCTCGAGTCTCGACAAGTCAAATATGAGGCCAAGTCATGTGGTTTACCATCAAAACAATTGTCAGCAAGTGATGAGTTGTCGCCTGCGACATGGATGAGGGCAAATATCGCCAACGACCTCGTCGAAACCTTCTGATCTGGTAAAACAACACGTAAGACTGCTGACGGCGTAAGCTTACTGCGACTCTTTTCAGTTCATTCTAGAACCCATTTCTGAGGGGCCTTTTTGGGTGCATTTCCTGCAATCACCCCGCCCTCGCAGAAGACGTTCGATCTGGATGCGAACATGGCGCTATCAGGTACACTGCAGAGATGTACCCGAATTCAACCTCAGAAGTCTGCTCTGCAATCCTTCTCGTCAACCACCAGTCGCAGCATACTTCGTCTTTTCAGGGTCGTGTTTGTGGTAAAGGTCCCACTTATTAGGCTTCTTGCCAGTCCGCTGCCCGTCGAGATGCCGCGGCTCGCGAGGGTTGTCTCCGACGAAGCACAGAGCTCGTCTGATAAAAGCCGAAAAGTTCCCCACCACCTTCCTTGTCTAGGGCACCATTCCCACCGGAATCCACGGAGGCTAGAACAAAACCACGGGCAAACAGTTGAGCCGATTGGTAATCGGGGCTCCGTGGTAGCAGGGTCCCTCAGTTACGTCAGTGAGGGGACCAACTGGAGGGCGATATTTATATCGCTCGGGTCCCAGACAGATCACGGATAAAGTGACCCGCAACAGTCAACGTACATCTCAGTCGCAAACCAGCAACATTCCCATCTCAACTCTAAGCTCCCAAAACCCAACAAACCGTCAAAATGCCCGCCACCGTCACTGTGCTCTACCCCAACGAGCCCGATGCCAAGTACGACATCGACTACTACATCAACAAGCACATGCCCCTTGCGGGATCGACATGGAAGGCCTTTGGCGTGACCAGCTGGTCTGTCACCAAGTACGCCCCAGGCCCTGACGGCGCGGAGCCCAAGTACGCTTTTGCCGGCATCCTCCAGTGGGACAGCGTCGAGTCAGTCAAGAAGGCGCTTGCTTCAGCCGACACGGCCAAGATCATGCAGGATGTTCCCAACTACAGCAACAAGCAGCCTGTCTTCTTGATCGGCGATGAGGTTCACAACGTCACTGTTTAGGCACGCGAATCGAAAGGGGTATGAATGGGCAAGCAGGCAATGAACTAGCATCAAGATGATCGACGCGCGAAAAGCAGCGGACGAGAATAAACACTTATGACCTTCGATGATTTCTATTTCCGCACAAATCATCACACAGTTGTTGATCACGATGTTAGGCTCAATTAATATTGTGCCACTGGGGATATCTGAATTGAGACAACTGCCCTCTGAATTGATGCAACTTAGTTGACGAAAACACACAAAGCTCAACTGTTCCTACACCAAGTCTTGAGGTCTGATCTACAACCAAAGGTTGGGATGAGGACCCGAAACCTCTTTGCGAAATATAACATATAAATGCCATGTGATTCAAAGCCCAGCGCCGCCATCAACACTCCAGGCAGCGCCATTGACGAAAGTACTCTTGTCACTGAGGAGGAAAACTGTGACGTCTGCAACTTCTTGCGCATCGCCAACCAATGTCGGTGCAGGGAAGTCTTGCACCCTTTCAAGATTGGCCCGGTGCTTTGGAGTATCAATCGCGCCACTACAAGCTGTCAGTATCAGACATCTTATTCCGACGCCCCGTCCAGAAGCAGTTTGGAAAAAGGGCAACTTACGGTAGCACACAGTTGACTCTGGCTCTACCTCCGACCTCCTTGGCTGCACTCCGCACCATTCCTAATGAGGCATGTTTGGAACCAGCAAAGACAGCACCTCTAAGAAACCCCTGGGTTGAGAACATACTCCCGACATGAACAAAACTCCCGCCATCAGTCAACACGCCGGGTTTGAGCGACTCAGCGAGGAAATTGAATGCCCCTTTGACATTGAGGTCGACGATGAATTGGAACTCTTCATCGCTTGTTTCCCAGATGGATTGGGTTCCAAGTTCATGGCCACCAGTGCCTGCGAAGTTGGCAACACCGTCAATCTTTCCAAAGTATGCCATGGTCTCTGCCAAAAAGCTCTTAACGCCTTGGCGACTGATGACATCGACAGACTTGACGAGGATTCGGCTTTGAATCTCGGGATCCATGCCGTTTCTGAAATTTTCGAGACTTTTGCCGTTCAAGTCGCACATTGCGACCTTTGCCCCTTTTGAGATGAGAGTCTTCGAGGTAGCGAGCCCCATTCCTGAGGCAGAGCCAGCAACGACGATGACTCTATCGGCGAAAGAAGACGTCATTTTGGTGTGGTGATTAGAGCGAAGAGAGTGAACAACTGGAAGAACACAAGCCTTTTCTGGCGATTTCGAGTCTACTTAAATATTTCATGGGTTCATTTCGTTGTCTGGTTTTACGAATAATTATCACGTCGCTGAGTGCAATATGGCAATGCTCCATCATTGAGACGAACCATGATTGGCTCCACCAGACCCATTTTCTGGAATGACACGCTAATGCAGCCCGCTGACACCAAGCAACACCAGTTGCCACCAGTTCAGGGATACAAGACTCATTTGACGACGTTCTCGTCCAAGTTGTACAAGTGCTGAGGCTAACAGCTTCTGATTAGCTATGTCATGCATGTGGCTGACATGTCCATTTTTGAGTCATGGACGCCAGATCACGAGAAACCCCACGTTTCGTCATGTCATCAAGATCTGTCCACTCTCTCTTAGCCCGCCACACCAAAATGGTCACCTGCTACAAGGGGTGCTGGAATTGGTGGACGGTAGTTATAAGTGCTAGCAAGCTATTTCAGACGCTGAACTTGTTCATGCTCGCTCAAACCCAGGATTCAAAGAACCGAACTGCTTGGAGAAACGCATCCTCCTTGCCAGCCTTTTCGACAGGTACATCAAGATTGGGATGGGTTGCAAATCCATGCGGAACACCCCCGTACAAGTTCATAGTCCACGGCTGACCAGTGCGTGCCATAGCCATTTCAATCTCGATCCTTCTTTGTATTTTCATACCCGTGTCCTTCTCTGCTCACAGAATCAGTTGTCAAGGAATTGCGTTGTTGTCATTGCCGAAGTTTACTCACCAGCAATGGCCAAGCTAGCGGGGCCTGATATTGCTTTGATCTCATCATCACTTAGCAAAGTCGGGTGAGCAGCAAATGCCGCATTCACCGCCTTGCCTTGAGGGAATCCAAGCGCGCGGAATGCGTACCGGCCGCCGAAACAATATCCCACAGTTGCAATCTTCGACACACCCATCTGGTCGCGCATATATGAGAGTGCCGTCGTGACGATAGGATCAGTGACGCTCGGTCCGTGCGATCCGAAGAACTCGGTTGCGTTGAAGCCGGACTTTGGATCCTCGGATCGAGGCTTTCCATTGAAGAGATCGGGCATGATGGTGACGTACCCAGCGCGTGCGAAACTGTCTGTCAGACTACACTACAATTAGCTCCTTGATCAAATTGTACTGGGACGACTTTGAATCCAGGTCACACATACAGTTTGTTCTCCGTTGACTGAATTCCGAACACGTCTGTCAAGTGGACGATGCCAACCGTTGGCTTGGTTTGAGCGGGCATGCCATTACTACCTGGCTGTTCCTTCGGCTTGGATACGTATATGTCCACTTGCTCATTGTTAAGAATGAAAGCACCAAGTAGCGTATGGTAACTTACGTCCGTTGAAATTGATTACTTGTCCAACCGGAGTGCCTGCGAAGGCAAGAAGAGACAAGTCTGCCACAAAACCGCTTGCAAGCCCAAAGAGATAGCAAGCGGCTAAGATAGTAGTCGTACTGATGTCGAAGAACCTCATGACGCATTACCTACGACCGTCTTCATGGTCGGTCCGCGCAGCGCATGATGGTAGCGAGAGACTAAAGGGACGGATACCAATTCATATATGGGTCATCGTAACGCCAAAAGAGAGTTTCCATCACACACTGCGAGTGCCTCGGGGTCAAATGGCGAAATAAACCTTACGCGATGTTGACTCGCCTCGCTTTCGAGATGAACAGTGGCCTACCACACATCAAGCTCATGCGACTCTTATCCAATGAAAGCCGAGACTCTGTCACCGAGAAATGTCCTAATATCAATGCGGCCGATACCGACGTATTGTCTGTGCGATGATGAGATCAGATGAGGGGTACTGATGGGCTCATCAGATGGACCGAGCCAACGAAAGTCCCCGTTGGCAAGTCAAAACATCTGAACCGCTGCACCGAATGAGCGATACGATTGGTGTGTTGCTCAATTTGTCGATTCCGAGTCGTTTCGTTTTCGTCTCAGCCGAAGCTTGATATCGCGAAACAACCAGTACTTATGCTGAATAGCCTCCAGTTTCCGCGAGAAGTGCCCCGCTTGCTGCTGACTTGCTGCACTGCTGTTTCTCATGACTTGCTCTGGGTGCTTTGGATCTTGGCATGATTAGCATAAGATTTGCTTCTAGAAGCGTCTGATGAAGAAGGTAGGAGCAGTACATTCGCAAATGTACCTGCATCCATGAGTCTACTCATGTTTCTCCCTGATTGATGAAGGGTTAGGCTGTCTAGGCAGTCCATACACATAGTCACTGCAATACTAAACCTATTTCGTCTAAACATCATTATTACCACCCCCTTCATCGTTTCTGTCCCTGCCCATGTGCTCAAGTTCATCGAGTCGACCTGATTCAAATAAGCATACATTGTACACTCACAATCTTCAAACAGCTTTACTAAATATTTTTATCCCTCGTAGTACACACATATCCGTATAGGAACGCACTGCATGGATTGTTCCGCATAACACTTCGCAGGCTTGAGCGCACTATAGAACAGACGCTGGTAGTACAGTTAAATACATAGATGAAGCAAACAAGACTCAAGCGTGTTTTACTAAGAAGGCGTTAATGAATGTACTTGCTATTAACTAGTCTATCTTACACTCTATTGCATGCTAAACCCGGCAAAGCCATCTGAGGAACACTCATTGATAGCACAGCGATACGCTGGCAGGCCGCCCATGTAACTGAGCGCCTGCCGAGTTCTTCCTGGAATATTACCACCCATGTACCAAGACGTCTTATTTTGAGGAAGAAGCGTCCCGTTGCAAATATCATTAGCCCGGTGGCCCCATTGTTCTTCAACATCAGATTGCGCATCGATGCGGGTGTATCCGTTCTCTCTTAGATGGACCAAGGCCTGAATAATCCAGTCGCCTTGTATCTCTGAGACAACTGGCCCTGTCGCAGTCGCGGTGGGACTTTGAGGACCATAGAGGAAGAACATGTTTGGGAATTCCGATGTGCTCATGCCCAGGAATGTGCGTGCTCGGCTGCTCCAAACGTCATTGAGAAGTCTTCCTTTGAGCCCCCGAATGTTGACTCGGGTGAAGCTTCCGGTCACGGCGTCAAAACCGGTGGCCAGAAGAAGAGCGTCAAGCTTGTGGATAGTCCCGTCAGACATCTTCACTCCCTCCGGAATGACCTTCTCAATCGGGTTCTTCTTCAATGAGACCAAACTGACGTTGTCTTGATTGAAGACTTCGTAGAAGTTCTGCTCTAAAGATGAACGTTTCGTACCAAAAGGATACGGAGGTTCTTCAGGAGCGAGGTTCTCGATCAACTCAGCATCATCTGTGAGGAGTCTTTGCCGCACTTTATCCCGCCAAAAGTAGTAGAATTCGTGGTTCGCCTCCAGATTGGTGCTAAAGTCCATGTAGTTTCCTTGAGTGGGTGCAAAGCCTCCGATATCCCAGAGTTGCTCGAATAAAGCTCTCCGTTGTTCTGGCGTATCGTCCATGGCTTTTCTGTTAATGATTGGGTAGGTGAAGCCGGCTCTGGAAAGTTTCATCTGAGAGAAAAGTTCTGGGTATCCGGTCTTGCTGGGGGGATCTAGTGCTAGGGACTTCTGTCTCATGGGCACTGCACAGTTAGGCGAACGTTGGAAGACAACGAGGTTTTCTGCAGTGGGGCCGAGCTCTTGGACAAGTTGGACGCCAGTCGCGCCAGTGCCGATGATGCCAATCTTCTTCCACGTCAAGTCGAGGTGATGATCTGGCCAACGGGCCGTATGACATGAGAAGCCCTTGAACGTGTCGAGCCCCTTGATGTTCGGCACGTACATCTTGGCAGCAAAGCCCATCGCAAGTAGGAGAAAGGGTGCTGTGGCCGTGTGGCCACTATCCGTTTGAATCGTCCAGTCATTGGCCTGGGGGTCGAAAGTGGCGTCAGTCACCCTAGCACCATAGGTGACGTCCTTGCTGAGGTCCCACTTCTGGTCGACAAACTCGAAGTACCTGACCATCTCGGCCTGGCTGGGGTATTTCTCAGCCCATTCCCATTCCTCCCATATTTCGGGGTCGGAGAATTCGTAGTAGGGAGTGTCGGTATCAACGCGAGCGCCAGGGTAGCGGTTGTGCCACCAGACGCCGCCTAGGCCATGGCCTTCCTCGAAGATCTGGGCCCGAAATCCTTGTTTTCTCAAGTTCCGGAGAAGGTAGCAGCCGCCGAAACCTGCCCCAACAATGATGGCGTCCAGGGGACGGTTGTCAACGTAGGATGGCATGTTCTGATTGATATCGTGCGTTGAGGTTGCCGGGTGATGTGGCTGAATGATCGGACGAGGTTTCTTAGTTGTTGGAAAGGTATTGACCTTATCAATCCACGAAGATGGTCTTATTTATCTTTAACTTGCCTACCTACAAAGTGCCTACACCTTACTGATAAACACTGGATAGCATGAATGCGCCTGGATAACAGATCCGAACCTATCTCAAACATCAGTCTCACGGTCATCGCATCCGACTGCCCACCATGGTGGACGATGAGAGTAACCAACCATCGTTGCCCGGATTGTCGAAGACGGAGCTGCTTGGGTAGGTTCGGTGATTACGCTTGCATCGGCGATAGAGCCCTCATCGGATGCGTTTCCCGTAGCGTGATGCTATCGCGTGAACCCAACGGCTTGCTGAGGAGGGTGGAAACGCGGGGAAAGCGGGTCTTTATCTGCAGAAGCTGAGGTTTGACAAGGAAGCTAAACAAGGGTTGCCTGTTCATTATCAGCTTGGCAGATAGCTGATAGACAGGGAGCACGCATTATTCCAAGATACCAGAGATATCAGGGGGACATTGGTTGGCTTATTGCTCTTGGCATCAGTCCATTTCGTGCTGATTGCCTACACGCAATCTCGGAATACATAACTGGCAATCGCCCTGCAGTTCCGAGCTCATGCAGCTCGTTTGAACTCACTTAACTTTTCAAGAGTCCAAGACGCAGCTTTTCGCATGCGCGCAACCCCCACCGAGCCACGTGAAGAGCACACATCCGATACCATGACCGCCTCCAAGGAGTCTCCGCCAATTGCTGCGGACGAAAAGTTCGGCACCGAAAAGACCGGAAATGGCAGTCTACATCCGACAAACAGCGTGGTCGAGGGCCACACGCAACTGCAGGAGGATCGGAACGGCCAATTTCACCGCTCGTTTACTCCACGTCAAGTCCATGTCAGAAGCACTGCTTGTCTTGCTCAATTTGGCGCATACCTACTAACCTACACCTAAGATTATCTCACTGGGATCGAATATTGGCAGCGGAGTCTTTATTGCGACTGGGAAGGCACTTGCAACAGGCGGTCCAGGCAACATGGTGCTCGCTTACCTGATGGTATGCAGCTGTGTCTGGGCCGTCCTCCAATCACTATCGGAGATGACTATCGCCTTTCCCGTATCTGGAAACTACATTGACTACGCCGATCGTTGGGTTGACCCAGCGCTTGCTTTTGGTGCCGGCTTTGCTGAATGGCTTGGTTGGTTTCTGTCCACCTTCATACATAGCCTTGTTTGCTAATGATGTGAAGGATGGACCGCTATCGTCGCCGCAGAGACAGGGTTCTTCCACGTGTTGATCTCACTATGGGCTGGAGACTCGTTTCCACTGGCGGGAACTGGTGCGTTCCACATCGACTTTCTCCACCTGTGTGACAAACAACTAACAATTGTCTGAGAGTATCACTCTTCCTCGTCGCATGCTTTATCATCTTCCTTCTACCAAACAGCGCCTTCGCTTGGTTCGAATACGTCACCTCAATCATCAAGATCTTTCTCTTCCTCATCATTATTGTCCTGTCGCTTGCGTTGGTCTTGGGTGCTGGCCCGAATGGTCGTATTCATCATGGCGAGACTTGGACTGAACTGCCGGCGTTCCTAAATGGGTTTACGGTGAGGAATGAGACTCTCTGACGATGAAAACACAATCTGACTCACCCTAGGGCTTTGCCAACTGTGCGCTGCTTGCAGTCTGGGCGGTTGGTGACCAAGTTTTCATCGGCATCATGGGCGGTGAGGCAGCTAGCCCACGCTTTTCGATGGCCCACGCAACGAAGCTTGTGCCATTTCGGGTCAACTTTATCTACATGATCAGCGTCGTCTTCATTACGATTTTGGTCCCCTCAAGCGATGAGAGGTTACTCGGCGGAAGTAGCGTTGCAGCATCACCGTTCGTTGTTGCCATTGAAGATGCCGGTATCAAAGGTATCTCGTCTTTGCTCAATGCTGGAATGATGTGTGGTGTCTTGGCCATTGCTGCAGAAGCAGTCTACCTTTCTTCAAGAATTTTGAGAACGATGGCTCATCAGAAGCTTCTCCCCGAGCGGCTTGCCCAGGTTGATAATAAGGGAAGACCAAGATGGGCACTGCTCATTACGTGCATCGCTGCGCTCATCATGTCATATATCCAGCTTGCATGTGAGTCAACCCTGTCTCTGGTGGTCCGTCTAACCTCGATGTGTTGCTAACCATCCTTCACAGCCGGTGGCTTGACGGTCTTGAACTGGCTGATTTCCATCACGAGTGCTTCATTCTTCACTAATTGGATCATCATCTCGTTCACAAACTGGCGTTTCCACGCTGCACTCAAGGCGCAGAACGACCCGCTCTTCTCCCAAGTTTATGCATGGAAGTCCACAGCCTGGCCTCTGGCACCGGCTTGGCTCATGCTCATATCGCTGCTGCTTTTGGCGTGTTGCCTGGTTTGCGGTATCGACCCTATTGTAAGTGTAAATTGTTAGCCTTCACATGGGCTGTGACTTTTGATCTCAGAGTTCCCGAGCAGAGCTAATCATGAGTGTGTGGGTTTAGGGAAGCGACTCGTTCAGCGCGGAAAACTTCTTCCAATACATGATCGGATTTCTCGTCATCGTCGTGTTCACCATAGGGTACAAGGTTATCTACCGCACTCCGTGGAGAGACCTGAACACAGCTGACTGTGTCACGGGTCGGCGCAACTTGAGTGTTGAAGAGATAAACCAGCTGGATGACTACTACAAGATGTCTAGATGGAGAAGGTTCCTTACGTATGTACAGTTGTGGTAACGCAACAACGTCGAATTCAAGCAGATCAAGTCTCCAAGACTTGGTAATTTGGACCAGCACATTTGAGCAACGTATTTGTCCCATGTGTAATCAGTGTCGAAGAATAAGTTTGAGTGCACACATTGCAAATTTGTGATATGGTGATGCAAATGGTATTGGATTCCAGCTGTATCATAGCTATAATACCGACCAGACAAAATAGAATATGACCGAGCACCACATTGCGAATATCTGAATGCCAATTTCTCACCATAAGCACGGACATGCGTTTCACGAGCTTGTAGATGTTTTGCAACGTGATTCTCCTTACCTGCTTCGGTGGGCAATGACCATGAATGCTTGTTGACAAGCAATTCTTGGCTTCTATTCCGGTAGAGATAATCTGACTTCACACAATTTCCCCTGCCCTTGGTTACTGATACGCCAAATACGCCGGATCACCAATCCCACCGGCACGGACAGCCGCTATGAGCGAACACTGGGTGCTGTTACGATCTGGGATTAGCATGATCTCGACCAATAAAATCTTACCCGAATTCTTCGGATACGCCATTTACGCCGCTCACGAACTGGAAAACACGGACTTTACTTCTGTGGAAAGGGTCTCCAAGACCACGCTCTCGGGGATAACATTCCCATCGGCAACCGCATCCGATTGCACACCAAATAATTGCAACCAAAGAAACCACAACGGAGATCTTGGGTAATGAAGATTTTCAGCGGACTTTGAAGCCGAAAGTTGACAGTCCCTCAAGTGAAGAGTGAGACAGCTCACATAGATAAAGGCCATGGAAGCAAACACCCAAAGTTCGAGTCCCGGTGTTTGTAAACAAGCATAGAACAACCACAGAACAACCACATTCAACAGAAACATTGAAGAATACCGTATCTTTCGATTGAGTATCAACCACTATGGCCGTGAACCAAACAACCCCCGAGACCTTCTACGTCCCTGCCACCCCGCATTCCCCAAACTCCACCCTTCCCGTCGTCGTATACAGGAACGCGCTTGCGGACAGATCATACGAAGCCGCTATGGAAATCCTCCAATCAAACCAATGGATAAAAGGTGGACACTGGAAGATTGCCAACGAGAAGCTTGCTGCTACTCCACACTACCATGCCACCACTCACGAGGCGTACACGGTCTTGCATGGCACAGGCACTTACCTTCTTGGCAAGTCGCCCCTGGATGCGGACTTTGACGAGCACGGAAACGCCGTCGGCGTTAAGTTTGTGGCTCGTCCTGGGGATGTCTTCGCTTGGCCGGTGGGTTGACGACTATCTTCATGGATACCTTACACCTACGTCTGACTAACTGTACTAGGCTGGGGTGACGCACTTCGTCACCGACACTCAAGATGACTATGAGATCATCGGGTTCTATGCATTGGTAAGTTGCAGGACTGGGGTCGAGAATTTGTGGAGTTCAGAGTGATACTAACACTTAGCAGACCGGGTTCAACACGGTAGAAGAGCCTTACGACATGGAGTACGCTCTGGATTCGGAAGAGGAAACCGCTAAGAAACGAGAGATGTGTGAGCGTGTGCCTGGCCCAGAACTTGATCCAGTATATGGAAAGGAAGGATCGATGCCAAAGCTTTGGAAGAGAACTGGCCAGTGACTGGAGTAGGAATGCAAGTGTAGAGACGCTGTGAGCAAGTTGGACATTGACCCGGACATTCGATGATTCATGCTACTTAGTACTTCTGACCGCTACCATAGTCTTGCGTGTACATCTAAATTCTAAATGTCCCATCAAATTCCTTCCACCTAGTCGAATCCTCTTGTGTTGGGATGTATTTGAAGAACCATTTATCACTTAAGTGGATTAATTCGAAGCGTAGTCTTCAAACTGCCATGCAGACCAACCAGGAGCAGGGTTGCCCTCTCCAGTGCAGTTCGCAACGACGAACGGGTCAATGATGCCCCCGGGGCCCGCCACCCTCACTCCAAAACCACCAGGGCCAGCCGCGTTGGCATAGAAGATTCGGTAAGGGATGTACTCGAACAGCCCATCAAATGGCTCTACGGTAAAGTTGTAAGGGCTCGGCGTGCTGCAACAGCGGCCAGATTTGTTGCTGTTGCTAGCAGAAAACTGGCCAGTTCGAGCATTGTTACCAACCCAAATGAGAATGACGTCGTCAGGAGTTTCGGGAATAACGCTGTAGGTGCCAGGAGCGGTGACCTCGATATAACCGCGGTGTTGAATCACGTTGCACTCAAAGGTGGAGTTTTCCGGGCCCCGGACGCTGTTGTACTCGACGGGACCAGAGGCCTGAGCACTGCTTCGTCGCAAGCCGATTGTGCCATAGCCAGGAGTTAAGCCAGTGGCGTCGGGAGTGCGGCCCATGAGAAGTTCTCCAAGATCGATCGCGCGAGATGGAGACGTGTACAACACCCCTCGACACTCCGGAGAGCGTGGCTCAAAGGTGTAGATGGCGAACTCAAGACCTGGCGTGCAAAGCGGCAAGCTAGGGGCAGATGAAATACTTGTTGTGGCAGGGATCAGACCATCAGTTGACGTGGAAACGGCCGGTACAGATGTGATGAAGCTGGTGGGATCCTGAGTAACCGTGTCGGAGGCATCCGAAGTACGGGATGGCTCCAACGTGGTAGCATCAGTGGGCTCCGAGGAGATGGAAGGTTCCGAGGAAGTAGAGGGCTCCAAGGTGGCTGTCTCTGAGTTATCTGAGATGGTAGAAGACTCAGAGCTGCTAGGAACAATTGATTCCTCTGCAGAGACTGTGGTACTAGGAGAGAGAATAGTTGTAACAGAGGCGCTGGTGACGGGCGTGGTTCGGGTACCCGAAACCGTGATGGCAGTGGCCGGGATGCCTTCGATACATTGGCACGCAGACCAATAGGCTGTGACATCTGGGCAAGAGCTGGCGTAGGCAGGCTTGATGCCCGTGATTACGGGTTCAGGGGCGTCCTGCCGGCGAACATGTACATTTCTGCCGATAATCGGTCTACGTCACCAGTCAGCTTCTTGGACCCATCTTGAAAACCGATGTCACAGAATGCTCCGGACTTACTGAACCGCAGCTGTCACAAACGCTGCACAAAGAGATGACCTGGAAGCAAAAGGAGGGTCCTTTCTGGCTGTACCCGCAACCGCGCGGCCACAGTTGTTGTTGCAAATCGCCGCAGAGGCCAAACCTGGCACAAGCAAGGCCACACTGAGAGCAGTGTATGATTTCATGGCGAGAGAAAAAGGCAGTGGAAAGCTTGGAAGTAAGTGTTGATTTGGAGATGCCCCATGAGAACAAACGTGGCTCGAGATCCTTCTTTTATGTTGATTGAGCCAGGTGTATCAAACTTTTACCTTAGTAGGTAGTCTCTTGGCCACATGTGCAAGCTGTACGAGCGCGACATATTTGCTAATGGTTTGGGAAGGCTTATGCGAACATGCCATTCAACATATCTTACGCGCACCTGTGGAATTGTTGTTGATGGAACGCAGACGGACTCACCGACAACTTGGATCGCCCAGTTAAGCTGAGCTGAGGTGAAATGTGGACGTCTAGGACACCCAAATATCTCCCTTGCCAAACTCTCTTCCGATAGAATTGCGTTTAAACCTGAGGCTTTTCGATTAGGAAGCATCAGAAGAAAACGGCTATAGTCATCAGGTACCAAAAGTGTCAGGCATCTCGCTCTTAGTCTCCAAGTGACCATAGCACGAGTTCCGTCGTCGAAGTTGACGAGAAGGACAGAAATTGCGTACATAATTAGGTGGCCAATGATATCACTGCATGGTGGCAAATCAAGAAGGGTGACGGGGCGTTCTGGCGTTCCAAAAGTTAGACCACATGGCGGAGCCCAAGGGAGCACAGGAATGCAATTCAAGTCTATTGTTTTACGTTGATCGGAAACTGAATCAAGTCTCAGATCGGAAAAACTAAGTTGGGTCACATTCTGCGAAGGTTCTCAGCCCTCTGAGCTCTTTCCAAAGGAACTGAGAAGTCTCAGATGACCTGATCCGGTAATATCCACATCTATTCTGGCATTCGCCAAGCGTTTGAAACATGGAAAGCCTCAAACGACGGACCGCGACTTACTGTTCTCTGCCCACTCTTTCATCGCTCCTCCCGGAAGATGTACAAACGCTAGCGCCTTTATGATTGCTTCAAGTCCAATTCTCGTGAAATCTTATGACGTGACTGGAATATCTCTCGTCTCGTTCAGCTAGCTACGTTCCGTGATGATCCGCTGACAAAGGCCGACTTAAGCTATCGACGTCCAATGAATTAGCCAGCTGCATGAGCTGTTCAGTGCTCAACTCAAAATGTAAGCCAAAGTCAATGTCATCTGTGAACCCCATGCCCAATTCCGGAGCACCAGTTAATGTTCCGCCGGGGGTCATTTGTGCCATGACATCGGAGCGAAAATCTTGAACGGGCAGGATCTCAGCGCCGTCGACTTGGAGGTGGCTCAAATATCCGTCGAGTTGCTTCAGCTCTGATGCAATCATCGTCGCAATTTTGCTTCCATGTGAACTCATCTCATCGAAGAGAGCATGGGCTCGTTGTGTCAGTTGAGCATGGTCTGGGACCAGCGAGGGATCAATGGCGGCACCCATGGATATGGCAATGGCTGCTGTAAACGTCGCATCAAGATCAAAAGTCAAGAAGCTTTCTAGATTGATAGTTAATACTGAGATCACTCTTCATGACAGACAGCTTACCCAGCAGGCCTTGGTTGAGTAGTCTCGATAGAATCTTGATACTCTGACAACAAGACTCCATGCAAACTTGGAGAAGACCTTTGACACTTTCAGATTGCGCCCAACGTAATGGGGTCGTATGAGACTGGCCGAGTCTCGACTGTAAGAAGATGAATAGGAGTGGCCTCGTCGTAAGCACGATGCATTGGTGATATTGGAGATGAAGGTGTGCCGATACACGCGACACGCCAGATGTGTTCTCGCTGGAATCGATATCAAAGAGCTCATTGAGCTGGCCAGCCACATTAGCTATGCTTTGAAGTAGCGATTTTGTGGCGCTTAGATAGCGACTGTCCAGTTGCCCGTCAATGCCGTAAACACCTATGAAATATGAGCGCCGTGGGTACATTGCCATCAGGAGGGTTATGACCTACTGCGATGAATTTGCCCGAGAATTTGCGCCAACTTCACTTGGATGTGCATGACACTTGTCCTCTGTCCCTGATCGGGGCGGGCAGGGAAAGGCGTACATATGTTTTCATCGTTGATGAACATGGGTACCCCAAGGAGAGTAGACATATGTCTCTCCAGCACGTAGAGGGTCCACCACATCAAACGGCACTTCTGCACGTAGGCTTCGTCCAAATATTGCCCTTGCATCTCTGTATACATTCCGCCTTCAAGCGCTAGGCTTACAGCTTGGGATATCTTGTGGATGTCAGTTGCCCACCGCCAAAATTCGTAGATGTCAACTTACATGCCGATATGCCGAAGTACGGCAGCTGAGGCATTGCAAGTAAAGTGCTGCACAGCAGAGAACTTGTATCTTTTCAACAAAGTCGCATTCGAAAAAAGTAAAGTCCGGCATCATCTTCATGGCATGCACAAAAAGATCTAAGCCAGGAGGAGTTTGAGATCTCGTTGTTTGTACCACAAATGCTTTCCCAAACGCCAGTAGAATTAGGTAGTGAACACACCAGAGACGTGATAGGCCTGGGTGATTAGCTCCGTGTTCATGAAATATCGCAAACTGCTTCATAAAGCTTTCCTCGTCAAAGAGGTAGAATAGGCGGCCACAACGGAACTTGACCGAGTTTATCAAATAAATAGCGAAGTCCTGAGTAGGTAGATTGGATGGACAAAAGTCGTCGCGAGCGCAGGAACTTCTGCTCCCGTCCCACTTCAAGTCGTAGACGTTTCCGTCAAAGAACAGGTTATCGATCTGCAAAGGCGTTCCTGTGACAGCTTCATGCGTCATTGTTAATACCCGTCGTCCAAAAGCCCAATTCGAAGACGTTCCCATGAAAACTGAATCTCATCAGTAAGTACTTTGTGGTCAACTTCTCATGCAGGTACTAACCAGGTGCTCCATGTGGTCCCGGGACCCAGTCGATTGTATGAAACGCTAAAGGGTTGGTCAGAGGCGCTTCGGCCACATCGCCCGGCTGTTGAGCTGCTGTAGCTGCCCTTGATGATGATGGTGATGCAGGTGCAAGGCCTGACGAGCGCCGAGTTGAGTCCAAATTATCGTCTGTGAAGCAGCTCGTTTCACCATCTTGTTTATTCCTTTCAGCAATTCATACCTCATCAAATGTTGACCTTTACACACTTACACATTTCGGGACTCATCAAGTCTTCCAAGTTCCTGCTCACTGGATCTTCATTCGGTTCACGCCTCTCGTATGCTGCCAATCTGTCGTGCAGCTCATTGATGTATCTGTACGGATTAGACCACCTTGCCGCTTTTCTTGAATCTGGTATTTCACACTTACTTTCTGGTTACGAGTACCTTCTGATTTTCATCAGGAAAATGGCACATCAGGTCTCTCTTTGTGCATTGTTGGCACGGCTCAAGCCCGGAGCATCTTATCTTTTGGTCGCGACATCTTGTGCAACTTGGGAGATAAGACAGGTCAGCAATAGGCTTCATCATAGACAGAGGATGGGAGGCCCTTACGCTTTGGGCACGCGTTTACGCGGTGGCCGAGCACGCTTAGAGCCGCTTTTCGGGGGCATCTTCCAATGCTATGAATGAGCATCTATTGACTTCTCAATAGTGAAGACCTCGATAGCGGTTCAAGATACTGTTAGTTTGGGCCATGCTGCTAGAGCGGGGGAGGCGCGTTTCCGAGTGGAGTAAAAGCGGGGTCCGCCCCGATATGATCGATGGTTTCGCAGGAGGAAGGTATCCGCGGAACGATCGGTATTGTGTCACTTAGATAGTTGCCATCAAGTGTAGAAGACGCTTGAAGAGAGAGCTTCGATGAGAAGACATAAGATGTAAATTTCTCAGATGGGGTATTGAATTTCGAAAGCAGCCCGACGATGTTGCAGGTCACACACTGTAGCAGATCGGAGCTACATCCGGGGGTACATCGGATGGCAACCCGCAACAGGTTCAAATGCCGCACAAAGAAAAGCCATGCTTTGATATCCATGCCGATATCTGTGTGGCTTGAGATTCGAGTTCTTTCTTAAGAACATAGAAAAGATCGCGAGGTCCACTGCTCCACGAGCCTCAATCACGCCAACTTCGATGGCTAGTCCATACAGCGACCCAAGTCCCTGTTTCTTCCGGTTTTCGGAGGCTTCCGTGCTGTTGCCCCGCGCGTCATCCCCGCGAACCGAATTGCGGGTGGCTGGTCGTTCTTTACTGGGTTACCCAAGCTTTCCCGCACTTGACCTACAGTCACATGAACGTTAAGGCTGCTCGGACTGCAAGAAACTCCGGTGGCTTCATTTTAGGCGAAAAGGTTCCGTCATAGTCCGGAAAGTGTTTCGTTTGAAACGTTGTCAATACCTAGGCATCTGGTGGGCCCGAAGCCAAACGTACCACTGCCAATGATCCTCCCAACTCTGAACCTCACGCAACTGCATTCATGCACCTTGATGTGCGATTGGTTGCATAGCCGTTGACTTTATCATTGAGACTTTAATATTTCCATAAGATGGACACAAGTATCGGGACAGCCCAGGAGAGGGCTGCGCTGCTGCATACTCCCGAGCTGCAGGATTCCGACGCTCAGCACCACACCGCCGCGATGCTGGACCTGCCGACAAAAACGGTCGACGAAGACGTGGCCGAGGGTCTTGAATTCGAGCACAATTTGACGTTTCGCCAAGCATTCGGCATCTACTACAAGGCCATATTATGGTGTCTGGTCATCTCAACATGCGTCATCATGGAGGGTTATGACCAGATTCTCGTCCAGAGCTTCTTCGCGTATCCCCAGTTCCAGATTAAGTTTGGAGAGTATGTAGGCAGAGGGCCTACGGGATATCAGCTGAGCGCACCCTGGCAGGCTGCGCTATCAAATGCATCCGGCGTGGGCGCATTCTTTGGTGCTCTTCTCAATGGGTATGTATCCATGTGATGGAATCATATTTCATGTTGTCAGGAAGCTGACGAACATTTCCAGGCCTCTTGTCAGTCGCTTCGGGCACAAAGCTGTCCTCTTAGGAGCCTTGATCAGCCTGTCTTCATTTATTTTCATAACATTCTTCGCGCAGACCGCTGCAGTTCTTTTAATTGGCCAGTTTCTTGCTGGATTCCCTTGGGGAGTCTTCGCTACCACAGCACCCGCATATGCCTCCGAATGTCTTCCCGTAATCTTACGAGTCTACTTCACGAGCTTCACCAACATGTGTTTCATCATCGGCCAACTAATTGCGGCCGGCGTGCTACGCGGCTTCCAGTCCCGCGAGGATGAGTGGGCCTTCCGCATCCCATTCGCGGTCCAGTGGATATGGCCAACATTCCTCATCCCGCTTGTGGCTTTGGCGCCCACGAGTCCATGGCATGAAGTTAGACACGGGCGTCTAGACGCGGCGGAGAGATCTCTGCGCAGGCTGCAGGTCGAGTCACCATTAGCAGATCCGAAGAAGGCATTGGCCGCCATTGTATACACGAACAAACTCGAAGAAGAGCTTGAGGTCGGCACGTCATATTGGGATTGCCTGAAGAAGTTTGAACTTCGAAGGACAGAAATCGCATGCATGGCATTTATTGGGCAGCCTCTTGTCGGACTTAATCTTGGCTGTGAGTATTTGAACACACACTCATCTACGATTCCACTGACGAATATCCCAAGATAACTCTACTTATTTCTTTGAGAGAATCGGACTTCCCACGGCAACGACATATTCTCTCAATATCGGGACCACCGGCCTTGCGCTCCTTGCCACATTCCTGAATTGGTTTATCCTGATGCCTCGTTTCGGTCGCAGAAGGATCTACCTAACCGGCACAGGCGTCATGATGGGCGTGTTGTTACTGATAGGAATCCTTCAGATTTGGGGTTACCATACCGGCGTAGGGTTCACGCAGGCAGCCCTCTGTTTGTTCTGGACTTTCGTCTTCCAGTTGTCTGTTGGACAGCTAGGCTGGGCACTGCCAGCTGAGGTTGGTTCAACTAGGCTAAGGCAAAAAACAGTCTGCTTGGCCCGTAACGCATACTACATGGTCAACGTTACATGTTCAGTGCTCCAGTCATACTTCATCAACCCCACGGCGTGGGATTTGTCCGGGTACACAGGTATGTCGCCATTGCCTCGTTTTCATGCATACATGCTTCTGTGCAGACTCGACTAACGCTCAATAATTAAGGCTTTATTTGGGGAGGAACCTGCTTCTGTGTGATACTTTGGGCCTTCTTCAGGCTGCCTGAAACCAAGGGACGAACATATGAGGAGCTAGATGTTCTCTTCTCTCAGAAAATCTCGGCCCGCAAGTTTGAAAGCACAAATGTGGGGCAGCTCACTCATAGGGAAAGAGAGCGAGAGCCTTTAGTACAAGGTGAGGTGGAATAGATACATACTTCAAGCAACATAAAGATGGGTTCCCACCTTTGATTTGTACCATATCATTGAAAACAACACCATGGTTTCCACTACAGCATAGTAGATAGCCCTACTAAGTATTTCGCAATTGTATGTATTTGTTAAGTTTATTTACTTTTTCGCATTCTATCCTTGCCATGCCTTATCGTTGTTCCTCCATAATCTATTCCGCGTGCGATGTATCCCAAAATAACAGCAAAGTAGTAACACAGAATGATGAATACACAGAGAAAGTGAAGCATGTCATAATTTGATCAATGAACAGAACTCAGAACCGGAATTTGTGCGGAGGGACGATGCAATGCAGATGTGGAAGAAGGATGCGTAGGATATTGGTCAGGGATGGGGGAACGGAAACTCTCAAAGCATAACTCCTGGACAGGCTCGAACGCCCGTTAAACATGTAGAATCAGGATGAAAGACGGAAAAGAAAAACACAAGGAGAAACAGGCCCAAACGCCAAACTGGCTGCGTCTGAATCAGGAGATGATCCAGAAAAGCCCCAATAAATAAGCCGAGAACAGCACCGCCTTGTCCGCGCGGGCGTTGAGATTAGTACCACTACCTACGCGCTCGACCAGCTTATTACCAAGTTGATTAATGCTGCTGGAGAACTCCGCGGAAGTCGACGCGGACCAATTGGCGCCGTTTGCACCAGGAGCGGCGTCTTGGCCGGTGAATGCAATGTAAAGGACGTCGTTCTCATCGTGACCTTGGTTGCCGTTGACGCCGTTTCCGAAACATGAAGTCGCCAGGGCAATGGATGCCTCTCCAACCATAGGCTGATCGCCGTCGTCGCCGTTGGTATCGCCCCAGACGCCGTAAAACTAAGACTCAGTCAGTACAATCAAAACTCAGATGAGATCAAGGCAGCTACTAACCAGTTGGTTGTTGCACACAGTAGCCATGACACTGAGAGGTTCGACGCCATACTCCTTGGGGTCGAAGTTTGGCCAGTTGGGCTTTGAGCCCTCGTTGCCAAAGACAACGTACGGGTGAATGTAAGAGTTGAGGTCGCCGTTACCCCAAGAGCTCAACCTGGACTTGAAAGTTGTCTGTGACTGGGTATCCGTAGAGCTGGCACAGCGGCCGTCGCCTGAAGTCTGGGCGCCATCACAGTCGATGTCCATATTGGTGAGCTGGCCCTTTTTGCCCTGAATGTAGATGATGTTGTACTTTTCCAAGTAATCACCACAGTATCCGAAGTCGCCGCTGTCGCCATCCATGCTGTTGAAGCCATCCTTCAAGACGTTGCCGCATTTGCCTTTACCGCGGACATGATCGTAGAAGTCTTTGACGTTTTCTGGCACATCAAGTGCAGTGATGACTGGGACCAAAGTGACAAGAAATTGGAAGAAGAATACGACCCGAGGAATCATGATGATCGAGTGAGGCTGGCGTCGTGAGTGAGGATGAGGTGAGACGGCAGCTTCGGGGGGCGAAGGTAAGGATGCTGAGTCGCGCTTTGGGAACCCACACGTGATTTTCGTATGCAAAGCACGGCTTCTTGCAGCGCTATTTATCGAAGCGTTAGTTGGTGCACTGCCCCCAATTTAGCCAGTCAAGGATCACGAACTCGCCAAAGTCTTGGCTAAGACTGTGGTAATTGGGTCCGGGCAACTCACAAAAGAAAGGTGATTGGCGGTGGACTGGGCGGTCGTTAGACAGCTGAGGTTAGATGCAGAGAAGACACAGAATCCCTCGCGGGATAGCTTCAATGTTATATGTGGAAGAAATTGGGACATTTACGGCCAATATTTTACCTTTATGGTTACCATGGCCTAAGATCGCCATTGTCCATTGGATTTAGGTTATGGCGCTGGATGGTCCATAGTGGAGTTGAGCTGGATGTAACGGTGACGGCGGGGTGGCCGAGCTTGTTTGGATTAGACATGAGCTAGTCGCAAATTCACAAGTATTCCACGTTGCTGACATCTGCCAACTTCAGCCGCGAAGCCATGGATTTCTCGTGACATTTCTTTTAACAAAAATAGAAGCACAAAGAAGCGAGCTGTGTCTGTGAAACTGTTCTGGCACTACGAGTTCTGCGCGAACTCGGTTTCCACGGATGGCATTGCCCATGGGGCTCATGGGATCACCAGCTTTCAAGGTTGCGAATGTAGACCGATATGAGCATAAATTCCTTTTTCCATGAGCTCGATAGCCCTCAAAATCAATCACTATTATGTCTATTCATATAACTATGAAAGGTGCTTCTTGGTTCCAGAGTTTGTCCGGGACTCCGGGCTGCCAAGGTCTACGGAAAAGGTTTCACAAGCTCGCGGAAAACGCGGGGCAGATTCGTGCTAGCTTACTGCATTAATTGAAGCGCACGAATGATGCTAAACAAACGACCTTCTCGTGCTACTTTGGATCTTGATCTGCATTCTGCCAAGTCTGAAGCGCGCCATGTGGATGGTGCGGGGTGCGGAGGTGACGCGGAGTTGGGCTTCTCCCCACGGCATATTATCTTACCGGATATCTCGAGACAAGACGTATATAATGGCAACGTGGATTCGACACAGAAATTTCATCGTCAAAAGAAAAACTTCTCTCGACGTCCAAGAACCGAGATTCTCATCATGACAGACATCAAATCCAGCAAAGATCTTGTCAACGAGCATGATCTTCTTGGAGAAAAGCCAATCGACTCTTCTCGTGTGGTTGAGCTCACAGACGCTGAGAAGGCTATTGAGAAACGTCTTGTGAAGAGAATTGACTGGCTGATTATGCCCCTAATATTGACAGTGTACCTGTTGAACTGGATAGATAGGTAAAAAGACTCTACCCCATTATCACTCTGAGACAGTACTAATACTCAAATTTTCATATTCGATAGAAACAACTACGCATCCGCACGTCTCGCTGGTCTAGAAGATGATTTGAATCTTGGCCTAACACAATACCAAACGGGACTTTCCATCCTCTTCGTTGGATATATATTGGGCCAGATTCCTTCTAATCTTTTGCTTAACTGGTTCGGTCGGCCATCTCTTTATCTTGGGTTCTTTACCATAGCTTGGGGAATGGTATCCGCTTTTACTGCTTTGGTGCAGAGCTTTGCAGGAATTGTAATTTGCCGATTTATTCTCGGATTTGTTGGTATGCTTTGTAACCGATCTTCTGAGTAGTGGATCAAAGCTAATGTTCACGTACGAAGAGGCACCGTTCTTCCCCGGGGTTTTGTTCTATCTATCGGTAAGCTAGATCGTGTTTGTGAATTCGTTGTCGTATCCAAACTGATCAAATGGGAAGAAATGGTACACTAAGAAGGAGATGAATCTACGGATGAGTATTTTCTACTCAGGTGCTCTCATCGCTGGCGCCTTTGGCAACTTGATCGCAGCCGGCATCTTGGAAGGACTTGCAGGGGTCCGAGGTCTTTCTGCGTGGCGCTGGCTCTACATCCTTGAGGGCTCAAGTGTGTATCCCTTGTATCGGAGTCTGCGATAGCAGCTAACATCCCACAGTAACTGTTGTCGCTGGTATTGTTGTGTGTATTTTCCTACCCGACTTCCCCCAGACGTGGCGAGCTCTCACTCCAGAAATGCAACACGTCGGTGAGTGTGCTCCGCCCGCATGGCTCGCACAGTTCTAAACAATTTTCGCAGCGAACAGAAGACTTGCTCTGGAGGCAGCGGAAGCTGATACCGACGAAGAAGGCGTGTCGTCACAACTGAAGGGCCTTAAACTGTGCATCGCCGACCCCAAAGTCTGGATTTTCGCCTTCATCTATATGGGTCTTACCGGGGCGCAAGGGTTTGGATACTATTTTCCCACCCTAACAAGGACCCTGGGCTACAGCCATTACATATCACTTTTGTTGGTGGCGCCGCCTCATATCTTCATTACCATCTGGAGCTACGTCCACGGCATTGTCAGCGACCGTTTCACCACCCGATACTGGTTTTGCTTGTATCCAGCAGTGATCTCAATTATTGGCTTTGTGGTCTTCATGACCACCGACATTTTTGGGCCGAAATACATGACGTTCTTTTTCATGATGTTTCTCATGAATATCAACGGTACCTTGTTCAGTTGGATTGCTGGGGTCGTCTCTCGGCCACCCGCCAAACGTGCCGCGGCTTACGCTCTCATCAATTCTCTCGGTAATTCCGTTTCCATCTGGACCCCATACACGTACCTTGATAAGGAGTCACCGTACTTCTTCACCGGTATCGGAATTTGTGTTGGACTCATCGCATCGGCTGCGGCGCTGATGACACTGCTGCGGTTCATTCTCATTCGAGAGAACAATCGGCTAGCTAGGTTGGAGAACGACGACGTCCAATTGACGCAGAAGGAATTGGCTAAGCTCGAGAAAAGTGCGCGTGTGGAGGGAGTCAGTTTCAGTGCGGCGCGCGCTTTACAAAAAGGCTTCAGGTACACCATCTAAACAAATGTAGGTCAAGGTAGCGAAGGGCTAGTTTGTTCCAATTTTTGTGCATATGGATCAGGCTTCGGAAGTTCGGCACGAGTGATTATCTTCGCACGCCATCGTACAAACCGTCGGGGGGAGGGAGAGGGGACATTTTAATCAGGCTGCAATGATGCTACGACTGCGTTTTCCAATCCACATCAGGCTCGTAGGCCGAAGGCTTATCTCGGATCTACCCATGACCACGGCCTGAAGTAGCGTCAACATAGAAAGAAGCGCCTGTCTGTAGCCAATGATGTGGAACATGCAGCCGAGCCCTCGTCATATCCAGAGCAGGGGGTGTATCCCTGCTTCGAGGTGCATCAGCTGAGGGGGCTGCAGGGTGGTCTGTAGTTCGTTGTCATATTTCCTTGGAGCCTCGCCCATCAACAGTGAAGAAACATCTCACATTACAAGACTAACGGAGGATGGGAAGCCACAGAAACCTCAAGGCTTGTATGTCGAGGGTGTCAGCGTGGCGTTGAACATGAGTCCTAAGCATGAATCCATCGCGAGAAGTTGACCAGTGAGCAAGTAGGCGTTCACGCCCTAACTACAACGGCTTACCACCTCCAGAACCGGTCCAGCGGGCCAGCCCGAGCCTAGTGAGGCTGTCATCGAGAATGTTAACGAGGAATCGGCAACTCATAACCACGAAGATGCAACAACAATTCGAACAGCGTCTCCCGTCCATACTCAAGACAGAACGACGCAGCCCAATGATGATTCAAATTTTCAGAGGGCCTCGAGTTTCAGGGTGCAACGATTTGCTGACAGACAAACACTTTCCGGGTGGTTTCCCCAGATCGACAATGACGAAAAGAATAATTGGCGCATCTGGCTTTCGAGAAGAAGCCGGGCGCTGATGGTGCAGATTGGAATCATCGGTCTTATCCTCATGACTAATTTTGGTTTGACCATATTCGCTGTCGCTAGCTATGGGAGCTCAAATGGAGTAGGGTTGATATACCAGGGTGATTGTTCGAACGTCAAGAAGCTGGATCAATGGCTCCACCTATTGATCAACCTTCTCGGTACAGGCATGCTGTCTGCCTCAAATTACTGCATGCAGTTGCAAGCAGCACCCACCCGCGCAAATGTAGATGCTGCACACGCCGCAAAGAAATGGTTGGATATTGGCATTCCCAGTCTGCGGAATCTTCGATACCTCAGCAATTGGAGACGGGCGTCATAGGCTCTTCTGGCATTGAGTTCCATCCCAGTGCATCTGATGTGAGTACACTTGGGATTGTGTGTTTAGCAACTGAGTCACTGCTGGCTGACATGCGATAAGGTATAACTCGGCTGTTTTCCAATCTTTATCCTCACACAACTACACCGTTGCTGTTATCAAAGATTCGTTCCTAGCCAACAGCACCTGGAGTCTCACTACAGCAGAGGCTAATCGTGCAGGCGATTGGGGATGGAATGACACGAGAGTCAACCCAACTAATCTCGATTATGAACAGATCATCCGTGGGATGCAGCAAAACGCGTCGTCGTACCAAGAGATGAATGTATCAGACTGCTTTGCCCTCTACGACGACTACTGGCAGCCTCAAGGCAACGTCTTGGTGCTGGTTAAAAACCAGTCGGTACAAACACCGCCTGACGATAGCCTCCTAATGTATGTCTCAATTGTTCCCCGTTCCGACGATTGGGGAAAGAACATGTGGGCTCTAGGGAATGGCACTGGCCGTTTCATTGCTCAGTCGCCCCCAAAACCTGTCACCGTTTGGTATCTCGGACCAAAGCACTACGAGGTCGCCCGATGCCTGGTTCAACCTCCTAACGAGTTGCACACGAAATGCCGCTTTGAGTACTCGCCTCCTATTATGTTCACCATCTGCATAATGAATTTCATTAAAGCTTTTATCATGATATGCATTTGGTACTTGAGGAAGTGGCAAGATCAGAAGCAACATAGGAAGGCGAAGGAAGTCCTGTACACACTTGGCGATGCAATTGCATCTTTCATGAGGGTCCCTTGCGAACAAACGAAAGACCTCGGTCTTTCCACAAAAAATGATTTCCTGACGACCAGGAAATGGAAGGATCGTCTCGTCAAGCAAACCCCAGTTATTCTGAAAGAGACTACCAATCGCGAGCCGAAAGAGTTCTCCGCGACGGCCAAACAGTGGAGGTCTGCTGCCAGTCTCAAGCGCTGGGTGATCCTTCTTTGCATGTGAGATTCACCTCCACGAAAATTGCCCTGTTTTCAATAACACTAAGATTTATACACAGGTGCCTGTTGGTCATCGTCATTGCTGCCATTCTCCTCAGTATGTCTTTCGTCAGTCTTCGACACATGAGGTTTGGAGTCAGCATTCCTGAACTTTGGGATCTTGGATTCGGAGCTCTCACACCCTACACCTATCTCGTCCTCAATCTTCCTCAAAGAGACCCTGTAGGGTTGATAACCAATGTTCTCTTGGCCAACCTTCCTCAGCTGGTGCTTTCCATCGTATACATCATGTACAATACCATGCTGAGCACGTTTCTCGTACAAAGAGAGTTTAGCCGGATGTACAATCCCGAATTCAGAAAGCCACTGCGTGTCTCTGAGCCAGTTGGGATACAAAGGTCAAGCTATTTCGTCTCCCTTCCCTTGAGATATGGCATACCTCTCTACGCTAGCTCAGGGGTGATGCACTGGTTGATTTCGCAGAGTCTATTTTTAGCACGAATACGGGCTATTTCGGCGGATGGTAGTGACGATGAGACCAACTCTTTCTCCACCTGCGGCTACAGTCCAATCGCAGTTTTTATTGGTGAGCTGAGGGTTTCTGTTGCAAATTTTCATGGTCTAACACGGACTGCAGCGATGTTGGCCGGGCTCGTGATCATTGTTTTCATCGTGGCCATCGGTTTTCGTCGTTATGACGGAACGATGCGAATGGTCTCGACAAGCAGTCTCGCAATCAGTGCAGCATGCCATGTGTTGGAAGAGGATCGTATAAGCGGGTATCTTCTACCAGTTCAATGGGGGGCTATCCAGATGACAGGAGGGGAGGGGAAGTGCGCATTCACCACAGCCGCGGCAGACACAGTTAAAGTCCCACAACAAGGATTGAGATACAAGTGAGGACACAAGATTGAGCATATTTCCATTCATTTTTTTGTAAGCAATGTCAATGGCTTGGCAAAGCTTGAGCTGCAGATGATGCCGGGTGCCGGTCGGCAATTTTGAGGAGGTGAATCCAACATCGGCAAATGAGCGCACCCTACAACTACTAGTCTAGAGCACACGTGCATGGATCATGAAGCTTATATGTGATAGACTCAATTAGAACTTCGGTGCTGCGTGAATGAGTCATCAGATGCTGTAGCCGAAGTAGACGAGCAGAGTCAAATTTATGCACGCGAGAGAGTCGTGGGATTTCCGCACAGGTTTCTGAAGGGAAGCCAGACATTCGCATAATTATGATGCTCAATACTTTCATAAGCCTCACTCAAGCATCGCTCAATTTGAGCCCTGTGTTCATGCAGCTTATTCCGGGGCTTTAAGTCTTCGCCAAAGAATAGCATTCTGAGATGAGTTTTCAAATGAAGAGGTTGTTGGTTGTGGCTCAACCTGACTGCGCCTTTCCTATCATTACCTAATATTGAGAGGCTGATGTTGATGTTTTTGTACGATGTGTAATCAACTTCATCAGATGAACTCAAATCAAATACGAACATGACACTAGCGAAAGTGACAAGCGCGATGTATTAATTATTCTGATCTTGACTGGTCTGTGCCCTTATAGCGATTTTCTCATTCAGCTAGTTGGGGCCCCTGGTGTTGCTTGCTCATCCATGAACAGTCAGCGTAGTAAGATAGTTGTGACGGCGGAACAAATAGCTCGGTGAGCCTTCTTACTGCATGAACGCCTTAGGAGTATTCGCGTCTAGCAAGACGTTATCTCTCGACGGCGTCCTCGTCCCCGCGAATGCCTTTGACAAAAGACGCATGCGACACTCAGCTGGCCTCGCCAAATCCACCCCAACACCATGGGACAAAATCTTTCCATCGATGGCTTGAACCTACTTTTCTTCTGCCACAATGCTACTGAACTTGGAGTGCAGAGGACGGACGCCAAGCATTCAACATTCAATCGACCGCTCTGGAAGCATGACTGATGCGTACATTTGATGACGGCTTGATGTCGCTTTCGCTTTCTGCAACACATGCATGCGCCGCCGATTCGGCACAATGCTTTTCGGCCTTCTCTACATGACATACATGGTGGCTCTGCTCGTGACCGGTATTCACCGAGGATGCCGCCTAGCCAGTGACCCATTGTTCTACTGGCAAGCTCATAATGCCAGCCTTTGCGCAGAAGTATCAGCACTTCCATGACCCATCGTACATCAGAGTCGAGAAGTCGTGCAGTAGTTCTCGGATTTACGAGTCAACTCTATCCCATTCCCGCCAGAACGCATCCGCCACGTTGAGCTCTGTTGAAATGTGAAACAACCGGAGAAAGATCCTTCAGGATTTCTCAAAGCCCAATTTCCCCTACAAAAGAATGATTTCCCGAAGATGCCGCCTGCTTTCACTTAGTAATCCATGCTGGTGGTTGTTGGATGCCTGTCCCCTGACTTCGGAAAGTTTACTCTAGTGATCGACCGGGAGATGTGTAAGCTAAGAATAGAGTTGGTCCAAGCATTTCGGCCAAGAACGACAGTCGTGTTCGTGAACCAGCTTGCTTTCCAGTACATGGCCGATGACCTTGACCGGGAAATCCTTCCCCATGCGATGATGAAGATCGCATAAGTCGTCAAGTCACACCTAAATGTACAGCAATTGTGGAATGGTATCGGCCTATTACGAAAATGAGCTCCAAATGATCCGATTGCGCCAAGCCAGCTACGAAGGGTTATTATCAAAAGCCAATTTCAGAGAGAATATGAAGACCAAAGGAGGGGTAACTCAGGCAATCTTTCTAGGTTGTTTCTTTCTTTCTTTCTGTTTTGACAGTTTGAAAGTTACAATCGCTCAAACGTTGAGAATATGCATAATCTCAAAATCCTTCGAACACTTGGGCAAGTCATCATTGCCAGTGTTTCCATACAGTATTCACATCAGGGAATATCTTCAGTACGTGCATCCTAAGGATTATCTGACCAGTTCAGTTGTGATGTTCATCCTTATCAAACATGAATCCTCGGGTGTCTCATTCCTACATCTGTCATCTGTCAAGAACGTGCAGTCCATACACAGAGGGATTTAGGGGGTATAGATCGGATGACCTAAACTTCAGGCGGCTCTGCTTGGCTATGCAAACACACATCCTCTTTTTTCGGATCATCGATTGCTTCGCCATGCATGATTTAAACTTCAAAGATCATCGCTTGTTGTGGACGGTACCCTGAACCTAGCCAACCCTGGCGTGGAATCTAGAATTCCAACCTGACTTGTGTTCATGGATATTGATGAATGATGATCGAGACTTTGGGGCTGTGAATGTAAGCAATTAGTCAAACCTCAACTCAGAGGGGTTGGGTGAATATCCAGCGGCCAACGCGGATACGGACAGTAAGAGGACCCTCAGCTATACAATCATGATCATCTACGTGTGAAAAGTTTCAAGTATAAGTACTCGGCGAAGATCCGCCCAATCCACCATCATCTTCTTCTTCATCTCATCCAGCATCGTCTTGGATTCGATTGAGCAGTGCATCTCTCCGTCAACACATTTCAAATTTTGCTTCAACTCCATTAGTATTCTTTTCATCTCCTCACTATGCATATCCCGTCTTTCCGTCAGGCTGCCACCGTTGGCATGGCCGTCTATGCCATCGCCGCTATCGCTGCTCCAGTTGCTGAGCCTGAGCCTATTGATGCAGCTGAACTTACGGAGGTGAGCAAACCAATTCGGTTTACGGCTCTGGAGATCTTCTTTGCTGACAATCAGGCGATTAGCGTGCCCCCGAAGCAGCTGTAAGTGAACAATCTGATTATTTGTCTCTATATTCCATTCCTTGGTGAACATTATTCGCTGACCTCTTTTCTCATCACCAGCCCAATGGAGACGTGTTCTCCGTAGGTTTCTACTCGTCTAGAAAAAGGTTCACCAGTACTGACATAATAGAAGACTCTCAGTGATGCTGTCGTCGCACGCAACGAAGCTAGCATGAACGACGATTTGGAGGCACGCGACAACAAGAAAAACGAGAACAAGAATGATCGCGATCGAGATGGATATCGTAACTGCAGGAGAGGTGGCAGAGGAGGCAGAGACAAAGATTGCAACGGATACGGCGGATATGGCGATGACGATGACTACAACTCCTACGGCAACGGGCATGGAGGCCAAGGTGGATACAACGGTGGATATGGAGACAACGGGTATGGTGGTCGTGGCAAGGGACACGGCCAGCAGAAGAACGACAATAAGGACGATCAGCAGAACGGAAAGGATCTCGGCAAGCGTGGAGATGAGGGAGATTATGGCCAGGAGGGAGGAGAAGGAGGATATGGTAACAAGGGTGGCGGTTACGGGAAGGGTGGTGGCTATGGAGGTGGCTATGGGGGCAAGGGAGGCGGTTACGGCGGCGGCGGTTATGGAGGTAAGGGAGGTGGTTACGGCGGCGGCGGCTACGGTCACGGAGGAGGATATGGTGGTGGTGGCTATGGCCATGGAGGAGGATATGGCGGGGGATATGGTGGAGGCTACAAGAAGGGCCCGAAGAAGGGCCCCTGGCGCCGCGATGTCGAGAATTTTGGTGGTCCCGACCCCTGGGATTTCTACGACAACTGAACACCATTTCGAAGTCCTCATCAAACGGATGGTAAGACGCTTCTGGATAGGTCGCAGATTAGTTTTCTTTTGGTCGGTTTTTCTATCTGCTACGGAGGCAATTTGGCAAAAACATCTGGGGTTTAGATTCTCTGTACATAGTTGAATGTCAATCTTGATTACTTCTTAAAATATCTCCAAGGCGATAAAAACAGATGATACAAGCTTGATTCTCCAGCCAGGTTCCCATCATGCGGAAGTTACCAAATAAATTGCCTTAAATCGTGCTCAACGAGCCAAGTATGCTGCATTGCTCGTTAGAGTCAAAGTCATAGGCTACCCTAGTTTGGTCATCCTGCATATGTAGAATTTGTCGACCCTGATTGGTGAATTCTGGCCAGTAAGCTACACTGGTTGAGAGGTTTGCGGGATTGGGATCAAGATTGATGGTGAATGCTGCAACGTATTCTCGCAAAGCATAAGCGAGTGTAGCATTTCCGCCAAACGACGTAGTGCCAAGAGTAGAAGCTCCATCAACTGTGTCAGATGGTTTTAGTAGTGCGCGCAGGACTATCAGGAAGGAGAGAACTCACAGCTAATGTCCTTGGACCACAAGTATGATGCCGTGGCCCCATGGAGTTGCGTGCCAGCCTCAAATACCATTTTGAAGGCTTTCTGTCCAGCGTCTATGGAAGCTTGAACGATTGTGGTTGACGGACAGTCGACCACTGAGGCCCCAAATATAGCTTGTCTCTGAACATAAGGCGCGGAGACATCGAAGCTCCCTGTCAAAGCCTTGAACCAGCCAGCTGATTTGATCACGGATCCATTGTACACTTGTGGGATACAGGTCTACAACCTTTTCAATGACTGAGTGAGGAATAGCTTGCCACATGGTCTTGAGATCAGAAAAAAGCTGTTTGTGTGTCGATAGACTGACAGAAGTGAAGTACGGTCCCTCAAACATGTCGCGGTCGACAAGCACAGGTACCTTGGTAAAATTCCCTGCCTTGAACTGTCGAGCTAGCAAGTCCATTACAGCGTCGTTGTCAATTGTCGGGCCGTAGTAAAACAGACCATAAACTGTCTCCGCTGCATTGAGAGCAGTCTTCCAAGCTCGCCAAGCTGCGTTGTTCAGAGCCGCCGCTGAGAGTCCATGGAGACAGCTGAGGCTGGCACAGGAGCTGGATTCGAGGACCCGCTGATACTGCTTTCTCACCCAAGTGCGGTTGTACATTGGAGACCACCAAGCATACTCGGGGATAGCCGCACGAAATGGAGGAGCCTGTCGGCTACCGTGCAGCAACATTTGCATGCTGACAGAGCCGCCGCCAGCACTACCACCCATGATCGTGACCTTGTCTGGGTCACCACTAAGATAGTGGATGTTGCGTTGAATCCAGTTGAGAGCTTCGCGCTGGTCAAGGAGGCCAGCGTTTGCAACACCTGAAGCCTGGATTTCGTCTCCAGCAAGGAAGCCGAAAACGCCTAGGCGATACTGGATAGAAACAAATATAATCTGCCCTTGAGCCTGATGGACGAAAGCATCCCCTTCGACAGGTACACCTGCAACATATCCTATGGTTTCGTCAGTTCAATTTCAATATAGTAATTTAATAACACTACGATTGGGAGAAATCTCACCTCCGCCATGAATATTCACAAGAACAGGTAGTCTGGTGGAAGCAGGCTGTGAAGGGACCAGAACGTTCAACAGAAGACAATCTTCCGACTCGTACGACGCAGTGTTGTTGGGTGCAGTTGATCCAGAAATCCAAGGGGAGTTATCAATAGCGATGCACCGAGGCCCGGATACGGTGGCATCGACAATGGGCTTTTGTGCAGGCCAAGGCTTGGAATCGACAGGCTCAGGCTTGCGCCAGCGTTGCTCTCCTGTAGGCGGCAATGCATACCGGATGCCGAAAAAAGAGTTGATACTTGAAACACTTCAGCCACGTCTATTTAGAGAGCTGGGGAAAATAGCCATCCATGGATCCCTGATGTGGTGTTACCAAGACCGATGTAACGGGCATAACCCAGATCAACCTGCGGAGATTCTGGGGAGCCTTTTGATGACTTGACATGACAAAAAGCCACGGTGAAACTTAAGAAAAGAGTAGAGAACCAGGGCTTGTCACACCTTTCTCCTCTTTTGGGAGTTTTCATTTCTCGCTGTTTTCCATTGTACCGTATGCGGCGGTTTCATTTCGCAAGACAGCACCCTCTACAGATTGATTCTGGGGTGCTTGATCTAGTTGAAAGACATCTTTAAGCATAATCGTGTGGATCTTTTTCAAAGAGTTTTGCTATCCGGGCGGATTTCTCCTAATTATCCGGGAGGGTAGTAGGCATGAGCAATAATAGTAGCGATCAATAGTAACGACGACAGGGACGACAGGGACGACAGGGACGACAGGGACGACAGGGACGACAGGGACGACAGGAATAATGAAATCAATGTTAAAGAGCTATTAGAGCTAGTACAATTTGTATCTGCCCGGTTAGCTGAGAGAATCTGCCCACACGGATAGTAAGACTCTTTTGAAAACAGATCTCCTAAGAGCTCTTATATGATGCTTATAGGGTGACTTGAAGCACTTCCCATGCAGTTGACTAATCTTCGTCATCTCTACTGAGCTCAATAACTTCAAATTACTGACTGTGTAGCAGAGTCCTATGATAGTATAGACATAAGCTATGATGTAACATTTATCTTAGGGGACATAAGTTTGAAGATTCCTCAAGGGTATTAAGAATTTACAATTTACGACAGAGTCCCCTATCAGCTCCTCGATGTTTCCTCTGGTGAGATGTTTTGATTTCTATGATGAGAACGCCGAAATCGGATTTCGCACATAATTTCGTACTCCGTACACTATCCGGCTAAGTCGTCTCTGACCATTACACAGCTTCGCAACAATAGCAAGCTTCATAATCAATGTATGGGATCCAGACCCAATCACACAAGACGGCGTATCTATTGACTTCCATAAATACAGGTGTCCCGAGATCCAGATCAATCAAAGGCGGTACGGTAGCCAAGGCTCAAAGTCTACAATAGGCGACAAACCTTTGCGGCCCTGGCTGGAGAGCTGCCTTGAAAGTTAACCAGCAAGATTATAGATAAGGAACACCGCCAACGTCCAAAGCTCAGAGGCTTTCCCACAGCCACATTGAGTTAATAAATATCATGAGTTATGCAATTTGTGAGCGCTTCCATCGAGAGATACCCCGTTGGCTGATTTCAGGCTCTAGCTGGCGAGACCGAGGTTGCGATGTATAAAGACTAAACAAGAGGATCTCATGCCTATCGTCTTTTATCTCGGATTAGAATTTGCCCAATGACAATAATTGCTCCTGACCATGTAACTTTGCATCAATATGTAGAACTCGTCTCCGCCTACAGCAAGGCAGAACAAACATCTGGAACCCTGATTGGAAGGCAACACTGCGCCGCCAGCCGTGGCGCAAAAGGTCTCTGCAACCTGCATACTAAATTCCGGGCCAACCCACAACCTTGATGCGCATATGTCCATGTTTAAATGAAAAGCCCACTTAACTTCAATTTTCAAGTTTGCCGGGAAAGAACTTGCAAACGCCATCCACCATTATCTCTGTTCACCTTCAGACCGCTGACTTTCACCGACAGAATGGTCCAAAGCCAACATATACCGTATCCTCCAAACCCTCCTATCTTGAAGCACGAACCGCCGAGCGGTCAAACGCCGGTTTATAGATACTGCCAGAGAAAGTGGGAATCTTCATTGGACGAGCATCTCGTCGTCCACGATATCCTCCAGAGTTGCTGGAACTGCATCAAGTTCACCGCGTTGACTCGCAAACGACTGGACTTTTGGACATGGCTGGGATCGGCTATGCAAGTCTTTGAAAGAGTTGATTTGCGCGTGGTGGATTTTATGCGGGAGATGGACCCGGTGTACGATGCCGAACACGACGCTGAGGTACGCCAGCTCAGGAAAACAATGCGCCAACGCTGGCCTGTCATCGAAAAGCACTTTGCCTGGATCTTTGGCTTCACTGTCGACGGCGTCCAACTCAGTGAGCTGCAGCCCGTGGCGGAACAACACTCGCATACCATCACGAATACCCAACCGAACGCAATGGCCTCCAGGATGGCAGATGTGCGTATTTCTGTGGCTGCTCCACCGTTCAGCAGGGATGAGTCCTTGAGAAGGGAACTGGACGAGTTTGTGCTCATCATGGAGAAGAATCTGACGGATGCTGGTGCCCGAGCTGAGATTGCATCGTTTCCAAACATCGATCGTGGGTTCTAGACCATGGTATGTGACCTAGGTACCCTCCTACCACCCTGGTGTCTGACGTGGGCCCCAGGATGTCGGCCTATGTGTACGTCTTGTACGAAGTTGGGGGAAGAAGTGCGTGCTTTTCACATCTCGGAAGTCCCCGATAACGGTATCGAAGAGGACATAGCGATACAACAATGAAAATATACACTATGGCCGATAGAAGTTCAATGGAAAGAACTCAGGAGGCACAGCGATGGAGGCAGATCATACATCAAGGAGTCATCGTTAAATCGCTCAGACTATGTGGCAGGCTCTCCTAGCATGCTAGCATTAGTGTCTGTAGATATTGAGCATGGACGCTCTGGACGATTCAGCTTACTTATGCGACGAGAATTTCCTCACATTCTTGTGATAGCTTGTCCCATGCTGACTTCAACATTCTTCCTACGCCACCCCTTTCCACAACTGGCACTCCATTCAGACTCAATTTGTCCTGTCGGTGAATCAGCATGACGTTGACTACCTCCCATGGACTCATAAATCTAGAGGCGCTTGTGGAGAGCTCTTCGCCTGAGAAGCAGTAAGCATCGGAAAGGAGTGCAAATTCGTACTCGTCCGAGAGCCTTTGCCGATAATCTTGTGGCATCAGGATGCTTCCCAGCCATGGCTCTGGATCTCCACCTTCGGCCTGAACCACACCTGTGATACCAAAACGGACACAGTGTGGCCCATCCACTTCCGGCAACGTGGGGGGCCTAAGAACACCACTCTTGTCGTGAAGAGTAAGCTTGGATTTTCCAATGCGTGTGCGTACTCGAAGATGATATCCGGGTGTATCGTCTTCATTGATCTCAGCACATGCTCCCAGACTCGATGGGCGAACTCTGTCCGATGGCTCGTCCAACGAAGGGAATCCGTTCCAGTCCCCAGGGTCGTCAAACCTGACAGCTCCAGTCCAACCGGCCCAAGCCCAGGTCGGGTATACTGGTGTTGCAGTGTTCCAACGGTAGACTCGCCTGAGTTCCTGGCGAGGCTGCCATAAAAGGGATTGAAGAAGCATGTCACCTGTCCACATCCCCCATATGAAGACATCGCCGTATACGTTGCGAAGAACGTTGAGAATACCCTCGAAACCATTGACTCGGTCATCTGCGTGACTCATATGTCTTGAAGTATACTCTGTCACCATGCGGTAGTAATACTCTTCCGAAATACCGAGACGATACTGACTTCGAGGTGTTAATTTCGGGGGTTCCTCTCCCCTCGAAAGCATGATGTCTTGTTGTGAAGCACTCTGAATCACTCCTGGCTTGAGCATGCTGAAGTCCTCGCTGCAAGTCATTTGGCCGCATTGAAAGTAGACTGTATCTCTGGTGAAGACGAGCAACCTCCGCGAAAGAAGACGTTCCTGGTATGTCCATCCTCGAGAGTTCCAGTAAACCTGTTGGACACCATCTTCGAAATCGGGCATCAGTGCAAGCAGGACAAGGTCGTCCGAGTACCTCGCGGTATTCTGGATTTTGCTACGACTGACTCCACACACACCCGCCAGTCTGGCGTTCGCATCTGTGCCGCTGGCTGCTGTGACTGTGACGGATGCTCTGCTGTAGATGACATCCATGAGTCGAAGTTGGACTGCTTTGTCGTCTTCGTTGCCTCTTTGAATGATGCAAATGGAGTCTGTCCAGAGGTAGCGGTAACCCAACAGTTTTGTCAGTTTCATGGCGTCTTGAATCGTCTTCGGAAACTTTCCTTCGTACTCCGTGAGTGAGCCGGGCTTCATGAGGTTAAGATAGTTATCCATCCCAAGCGTGAAGACTTCGACAGTGCCCCAAACGTAACTCAAGGCCACAAACTCCGGTGGGGTAGACGTTTCGATGAGACAATGTGTTTCAAGATCTAGCAGCCGGATGAAGGGTTCAGCATCGGCATCTTGCCACCGACGGTTGTGCGATTCGGGGTTTCTGGGCCAGCACACAACATGATGGCTGTCCTGGCAGGTCTGGAGCCACGTTTGGAGGAGATCAATGTTGATGAAACTCTCATCCACAGTTCGCCCTTGGAACATGTCATCCTGGCCATCGTCCGCCAGCGGCACGATGTCAAACGCGTCGAAGGCATCTTCCCAGCCCACCATCTCAGGCGCAATCCTCAGCCGAAGAGTCGTCATCGTGGTGACGGCCTGGGTCGCGGAATCAAAATCCTCGAAAACCACGTCGGGAACCCAACACCCCAAGACCTCGACCTCACGCGAGAACGCGTCCGTCGAGACGGAGTTGGCAATCAGTTTGCAGAATACGCAATAATCGCCTCGTTGGACGACCTCTCGGAGGGTTCCGAAGTGCCAGTCAGGCGGGAGATCTTTCGCTTGCGCTCTTGCCGCGAAGTCTGACGGTTTGAGGCTCATGATGCGGTGTCTGGAGCAAAGATGCGATGTCGCATCTTCAGGCGGGATGTCAATGTCTCGATCCCATGCGCGAGAGCCCCCGCCTCGGTCTTCAGGCTGGCCATCGCTGGTCGGACCACCTAACGGTATCACCATATTGTTGGGAGAGAATGAGGACTATGGTGGATATTTTTGCAAGATGGCCCTGAGATGTGGCGTTGGTGGTGACGAGGATGAAGTGTCAGACGCGTTTGTGAAGTTGCAGGCGATAGCGGCGATCCTTTGGTTGGTGGCGCCGGCGTTAGTAGGGCCAGCGCATACCTACATCACGGGTTCGCCAGGTTGTTAGGCGCGGATTGGGATCGTGAGACAAGGCACTCCAACATAGAGGCCCGATGAATGAAATCCCCTGCCTTTATCTGCATTGCTGAGCATAGAGGTCAAAATTGAAGGTTGGAGTGTGAACCAATCATTCGCCATTCCCTCAGACGGCATGCGCTATTGAATCCCTGGTCTCGCTGTAACAAACTGGCTCGCTGTTCTCGTTGCGCCCTCATTATGTATTCAGAGCTAAGGTGAATCAGATGTCCGCAGTCTCCAACGAATAAATCGAGTGAGAAACGTTCATTCGCTTGATTTTTAATTATCTATCGTGGCCGACGAGCTGATGAACGGGTTAACTCGAAGTCTCCTTCGCTAATCCCTCCGCCAGCACCGCAGCAACATCATCAACGGTTTCACCCCTGGTCCTCTTTCCAACCTTCTCAGCGCCCAACACAGCATCATCCGCCATGGACTGGTAAAGCTCAGCCATGGCTCTGAAGATGTCGGCCTTATTCTGGAAGCCACCCTCATCACGGTGAGTATCCGAGATCTCTTCCATCTCACGCACCCAACGGTAAGACTTTGGCGGCACCAAAGGAATAGACTTCTCGGCAAAATCAAGCAGGCCAGGCGCGGCCTCCTTCATCTCTTTCCGCAGCTCATCGACAACACCGAGTGCCGAAGCAGTCGTGAACGCCTGGATCCCAAGGCCCATGAAGCCCTTCGTCGTGGTTGCGAAGCACATCTTCAATCCGCTGGCTGCGCCGACGTCTGGGGAGATGTGGCGCATGTTCAGAGTCTGGGCGAGCTCGGGGCAGGCCTCGTTGAGAGAGTGCTTCCCGGAGGTTGGCATGCTTGGGACATACCATGCGCCGCTGGGGTCTTTGAGCTTTGGCGGGCCGCCGATGATGCATCCGTCGACGAAGCGGACGGGGCTCTTGGCCTCTTCGAACATGCCTGCGATCTGCTTGCATGTAGCGGGCGATACGGCGTTGAGGTCGGTGAAATACAACGGCTTCTCAAGTTTTGCTCCCAGTGAAGCCTTGAGGATGCGCTGGGCGATGCTCATGGCATCCTTCGGCGGCGCGACGGAGAAGATGAAGGGTCGCGACTGCACCAGGTGGAGGTCAGACGTCAGGACCTCGACATTGGCGCTTCGGGCCCTGTCAATCGTTGCTTGACTGCCAAGCTATTAGATCTAATGTCCAATTGCCTATGAATTGAGAGCATACCTTCTTCCTTCGCCATTTGTGGCGACCGAGAAACCCCTCGAGACCAGCAGTTTGGCGATGCCCATGCCCATGTCTCCGATGGAGAGGATACCGATCTTCGGCAGGGAGAGTGCCATGGCGGGCGAAGCGGCTTTGGGCGACGTTCAATAACGCGGGCCTGGAAAAGATCTTGAATTGTTCCCCAAGAAACCTGCACGTATTCACAAGCAAGCGTCCGGCTCCTTTGATCCTGAGATTGAGGTCGGGGAGAAGAGTTGCGGCACGATCGTTACTTTCGCCGATCCGCGACCGGTCGCTCGGATGACGTTACCGAAATAACCCTGTTGTGCAGTCGATGACAACCGTTTTGAAGAAAATCGCCAGTCAAACATAACATGCATCCCCATTAAGCCGAGGGTTCATCATAATTGACTCAATCTAAATCTTCTTATTGAAAAGGGTTGAAACTGAAGATCAATGGCCTCAAATTGACATCCCGGAGACAGAAGCCGAGTTCTCTTCAGGTGAACACTCATGGATGAGATTGCCGGATCTCATCCTCACCTACACACCACTCATCCAGATTCTCATTTTCCAGGTTCAAACTTCAATCTCAACAGATCTCTCACGTTCTTCCACGCAATCCCCTCCCACTGCTCGTCATCCACCAACCCACTCTTCTTCAACTTCTCCATGAACTCCCGCCCCATCCCGTTCGTAGAGAACGGATAATCAACACTGAAAATGATCCTGTCCATCTTCGTCTCCTGAATCAAGCATGCCATCGGCGCCAGAGAAAACATTCCGCTCGTGGTAACCCACACATTGCCATCCCACACATCCCTCAGTCCCCTCTTCCGGTTCTCAGAAGGCGGCCACCGCCCCGAGGACCTGACGATCCGGTCCATCATGAAGGGCAGCATCTCGCCCATGTGCCCCAGGATGATCTTCAACTTCGGGAACCTGTCAAAGATGCCCGCCGCAAAGAGGCGCAGGAAGTGTAGACTCGTCCGGGAGTGCCAGCCCCAGCCCCACGCGCTCAGCGCCTTGGCAATCTCAATGTCGTAGGGCCCCTCAAAGTTGACCTTCATCTCATCCTCCGCGGC